ACTCCTCCTCCTCCTCCTCCTCCTCGTCATCCTCCTCCTCCTCCTCCTCCTCCTCCTCCTCCTCCTCATCCTCCTCCTCCTCCTCATCATCATCTTGCATTATTAGCGCAGTTGCAACACAAAACGTTGGTCTGACTGTTGTCGGCAGGAAGGATAGGAATGCAGCACCGCCCTCCTTCTGGTATAGCCCGATGAACGAGAGGTGAGGAGGAGGAGGGGGAGAAGAAGGATGAATGGAGTTCGAGGAGGAGGAGGCAGTTTGGAGAGAGAGGAAGCTGGAAGGAGTTTAGAGAGGGAGAAAGAAAGAGAGCAGTGGATGTAAGTTGGACGTCCGGGGCGTCAAGGGGAGGGAGGAGGAGGAGGAGGAGGAGGAGGAGGAGGAGGAGGAGGAGGAGAAGCCTTTCAGAGATCCCTCTCCCTCCTTCTGAACGTTTGCGAACAGGTCGAGCGAGTACGAGAGGATGGGCGTGAAGGACAAGATCATGATCTTCAAGGAGAGGGAGGCGAAGAGCCAACAGCCCTTCCCTTCCTCCTCATCCTCATCCTCATCCTCCTCCTTTCCACCACACAAGGTCCTTCATGTAGCGTCATCCGTCCTCCTGACGTCTCGCTAGCCCCCGTTGGAGGACGCAGCTGAGATTGGCCGTCACCCTCCCAGGAATGGAGGAGCAAGATCTCCAAGGTCAGGAGGAGGAGGAGGAGCGCAAGCAGTAGCAGAATGGGGAAGCAGGGATAATGGAGCACGAGTATGAGCTGCGAGAACAGGAAGGAGAGGAGGAGCAAGGGGAAGGAGCAGGAGGAAGATGGATCAGACTGTAGGAGGAAGAGGAGAGGCCTTGATATCTTATCTCAGGATGGCGCGTTCCCTTGCTACCTTGACAACCTCCGTCCCTGCTGCGGGTTCAACCTCCCTTGGTGCTAGAATCGTTCCCTTCCCTGCCCACTCCCCCGCCCCAATATCTCCTCCTCCTTCTCCTCCTCCTTCTTCTCCTCCCTCCTCCTCCTCCTCCATCTCATGGTTTTTTATGCTTCCTTTCCTTCCCTCTCTTGCGTCTCCTTGCTTTCGTTTGATCCCTCCAACTTCTGATCGCTCCCCAGAAGTTACAGACGATTCGCAGCTCCCTCCTCCTCCTCCGTCACTTCGAGGTCGAAAATCTTCCTCTTCTTCCTCTTCCTCTTCCTCTCCCTCCTCCTCCTCCCCCTCACTCCTCCTCGTCCTCCCTTCATAGCCCGCGCCCTTCCCACCGCCTTACAAGCTTTCCAGCGCTCTCAATGCTGGAACTTGATCCCGCCCCAAGGTCAATCGTCGTGCATCCTCGACGCGAGCCGACTCGTCCTCCTCCTCTTCCTCCCTCCGCCATGCTTGGTATCTTATTGCTCCTTCCTCCATGGCGCTGATACCAGGCAGACGGCTCAGGTGCCGGTAGGAGGCGCAGGGGAGCAGGAGCAGTAGGAGGGAGGCGGGAAAGAAGTGCAGTGTTTTCCTCCGACTCCTCCGACTCAGAAAAAGATTTTCGATCCTCCAAGTCTCTCGTCGCGACTCCATCCATAGCAAGTATGCCTTCTCATCCTCCTCCCTGCCTCCTCCCTCCTCCTCTTCCTCTCCCATCTCTTTCTGCCTCTAACACCTACGAAGGAACAGGAGCGGTCACTCCCTCGCAGCAGGAGGAAGCTTCGCTTTCATCGAGAAAACGAGCAGGTCGGAGAGTAGATCGGGTCGAAGAGACCCTCCCTCCGATGAGGGGGAGGAGGAGAGGGGGTGTGGTGGGAGTTTGAGTTCTGAGACTGAGTGAGAGCAGAGGAACTCGCATGGATGATTACCTCTGGTGGTCGCAGAATAAGCGGCGGCAGGCACATACGAAAGGTTCTCCTGCTCCTCCCTACCTCCCACAAACCACCTCCACGATCTACTCTCCTCCTTCCGTCCACTCCATCCCATCCTCCCTTCTCTCCTTATCTTGCTCCCATCCTCTTTCCGCCCCCTCCCACCCCTATCCTCCTCTCTCCCTCCCTCCCCCACTTCTATCCTCCCCTCCTCCTCTCCTCTCCTCTCCTCTCCCCTCCCCTCCCCTCCCCTCCCTCTGACTTGATTCCGAAGGCCAATGGTCTTGACAGCGACGAATCGTTTTGACGAGAACTTTCAAAGGCAACTCGGCGTGAAGAAATTCAAACGAGAGATTTCAAATATATTACAAAGAAATCGCGCTTAAAGACGAAATTCATCCAACTTGACATCTCACACAATTCACACTAAAATACAACAGAACAAATCAAACCATCTCCACACCCTCCTCCTCCTCCTCCTCCTCCTCCTCCTCCTCGTCTTTCCCCCCCTTCCCTCAACCTCCTCCCTCCCTGCCCAGCATGTCTCCCTCCTTTCGTCCTCGCCTCCCCCTGATCCTCCTGGTTTTAACACTCCTGCTTCGCCACCAACGCAGAGCTCACAATCAATCTGAATCCTCAGGTTCCTCCATGAGACTCAAACGCTGCTGCTGTACCTCCTCCCCCTCCTCCCCCTCCTCCGCTTCCTCCTCCATCCCTTCCTCTTGCTGCTGCCTTCCCTCCTGTTCCTCTTCATCCAACTTTCGCTCCATCCACTTCCGTTTCATGCAGATGGTCCTGCTGCAGCAGTCACAGAGGTTGAATCGCTCCTGTGCAAGCCCTCGCTGGAGGTAGGCGACGATTGCAGCAGGGCCCAACCGAACAATCTCGGGGGGAGGAAGCTGAAGAAGAAGTCAGAGGGTGGACATAGCATGGGGAGGGGGGAAGAAAGTGAAGAGATAGGAGGAGAGGAGGACGGAAACAAGGTGAAGGGGGAGAGGAGATGGGAAGGGCTGGCACCTGTAGCGTATCATTGTTGAAGACGAGGATGCGTTGAAGGCGTGGAGGACAAGCTAGCAAGTTTGGTAGCACTGTGATCTGATTTCGAGAAAGATTGATCTCCTCCAGCGTTGTGCTTGTCCTGCTTGCCGTTCAGGTATGCAGGGATAGAGGGAGGGAGGAGGATCAAGAGGCTGTAAGAGACGGAGGAAGGTACGAAGGGAGAGCGGAGAGGAGGACGAGGGTGAGCTGGCAAGAGAAGGAGGGAGTAGGAGCAAGGGAGGAGCATGACCTCAGAGCTTTTGCAAGGTCGAAAAGGCCGGCAGAGGTGATGCGGTTCCCGCTCAGATTCAATCTCCGCAGCCCCAGCAGAAGGTTCGGCCTGTCCCGTGCGAATATCTTGCATCCCTGTTCCATGTCTGAGCCTGTTGTAACCCCCTGCTCCTGCTCCTGCTCCTGCTCCTGCTCCTGCTCCTGCTCCTGCTCCTGCTCCTGCTCCTGCTCCTGCTCCTGCTCCTGCTCCTGCTCTCCTCCCCCCCACCCTCCAACAACAATGCCCCGCTCTGTCTACCACCACCTTTTTCCTCACATCTGCTCCACTTCCTCCTTCACCTCACCTCATCGCCAATGTCATTGTCAGACAAGTCAAGAGCGCCTTCTTCGTCTGGCTCAAGAACAGGCAGCAGAGAACGTAGCCCCTGCCATCATCGTTAGCGAGCCCCTCCAGCTCATCTCCTCTACCCTCCTCTTCTCTCCCTCTCCTGCTCTCCCTCCCTTCTCTCCCTCCCCTTCTCTCCCTCCCCTTCACTTCTCTCCTCTTCTCTCCCTCTCCTTCACTTCACTCATCTTCTCTCCCTCCCCTTCACTTCTCTCCTCTCCCATCGTCTCCCCTTCTCTCCCTCCCCTTCTCTCCCTCCCCTTCACTTCACTCCTCTTCTCTCCCTCCCCTTCACTTCACTCCTCTTCTCTCCCTCCCCTTCACTTCACTCCTCTTCTCTCTACTTCTCTATCGTCATTCACTTACCACCATCCCGACGGCGTTCCCTCTGATGTGAAGGACCTGCTTCTTACTTCCCCAGTTCAAGTTCAGCAGAGCCTCTGACAAGTTCGACGCGCCATCGTTCGAGAGCTTGTTGCAGCTCAGGTCTAGCTCGCTCAGTCTGAAGCCTTCTCCCCTGCCCCAGCGTTACCCAGACAGCGAGCCGGAGTCTTGTAGTCACCTTGTGGAGGCAGGCATTAGGAGGATGCTGTTGCCTCTGAGATCGTTCCAGTCCAGCCTGAGGGACTGCAACGTGCTGTTGTACCCAAGAGCCCATCCGAACTGAGAAAACACGTCACAATTTTGTCTCTCCCGTCTGCTGCCTTGCTGTTATCCCAGCCCTCTCTTTCCCAATCCCCCTCCTCCTCCCTCCTTTCTCTCTCTCGTCACCCACTTTTCCACTCCTCCTCCTTTCTCCTCGCTGTACTTACATTCTGCGCTCCTCCCATCCCAATCGAGTTCAGGCCTAGATCAAGCGACTGCAAGCAAGTGTTCTTCCACAGGCTGCGGGAAATGCTGGTCGCACCCTGCCATGCCAGTCAACGTCCACCTGAACTTCCAGTACGCACGGCCTCGTCACCTCAGCAGCAACTTCGTTCCTCCTCAGGCCAAGGTGGGTGAGCGAATTCATCCTCGTCAGTGCCGCTGACAGGAGGGAGCACCCGTGGCAACGGATCAAGTTGTATCCGAGCTCTAGCTCCCTTAGCGCCGTGCATTGATCGAGGAATTCAGTCAGGATCATCGCTCCCTACGGCAGCGGATCAGATGCAACAGCGCGCAAGTCAGATTATCACTTGAGGACGGATGTAGTTCATGGCAAGACGAAGGCAGACAAGCGAGGTGTTGGTGAGGAGACCCGGAGACAAAGCGCTCAAGCCTGCTCGACGTCACAGCACGAACAGCAAAAAAACAAATATCACCATCATTTCGAATCTCGTTAGATGAAAGGTTCAAATATTTGATCGCGCATTTGCTGGTAGCTTTTAGAGGAAATGAAAGAGCTGTGCAGCCTTCTGTACCTGCACGTGGGATCAGCCAAGTTGAGAAAGACAAGAGAGTATGCAGAAGACAACGAAGCAGAGAGAACGAAACGAGAGCAGAGATTCTTTGACCTCAAGGCAGGAGACTTACCGATCGAGTTGTCCCCTAGGTCCAGGCTCGTTATGCTGCATCCAGCCTCCATGCCAACAGCAAGAGCTCGAGCTCCCGAGGGACCAATCTTACAGCCTCGAAGTGTCAGGGTCTGTAGACTTGTTGCGGTAGACATGTTCTGATGTTCAGTCAGGACCAGGGACTCTGCAAACAAGGCAGCCAAACCGCAAATATCTTTAAGACTCCCGATGCACGGAGGGAAGTCGTGCCCACTAAGTCCAGCTCTTGTAGATTACAACAACGAATCACTTCCGAGATCTTCTGTGCCCTTGAGCTATCATCAAGTCAACCGTGACGAAATAAGAAAAGAAATGTATTTCAAATGATGGAACGAAATTTGCGTTCGTTGCAACATTATTTCAAGATTTACCTGAATATCCGATAAGGAAACCCCCACGACAAGGATTTCAGCCTCAGAATTCCTTCATTGGATAACTTGATCAATTTCTTGGAATTCAAGCTTCTGCAAGAACGCAAAGGACGGCTCAGTCGAACCAAGACTGAACCATTACAGGATACCTTCCAAATTTCATGCCAGAGATCACCAGTGGCCCAGCAAAAATAGGCAAGAGATTATCACAAATTTTTCTGCCGCTCCACAGTGCGGATATTTCCCCTGGATTGATAGTGAGAAGAGAGTCGGAGGGAACAAGCTCCGTACCGAGATCAATCTTGTAGATGTATCTGCATGCTTCCCTAAACAATCTGTTCGTCATGCGCGCCTGTCGAGGTCTCAGTGTCATAAGTGCACTTGGGATGCAGCAAAACTGACTATCATCAAGTTGCGAAATGGCAAATACTCCAGCAGAAGCGCGAGCTCAGACGGTCGGAACTGCATGAACTCCGAGCATCTTCGGGAGGGGAAAGGATTGACGCACACTTCACTCCAATCACCCTTTCGAGGTCTCTTTGAGCTCGTGCTCCAATGGAACCCATTCTGGCACAGACAGTCAGCGCTGTGAATCGACCTTTACTTTCCTCTACCTCCTGATGGAGGCCATCGAAGTCACAGCCTGCGCAAGCTATCGACCCGATCTGCAGGCAAGGCGAGAGAGAGACAGGAGAGAGCGGAAATGACAAGATCTCTGGTGACAGTGGGGCAAGAGACGAGCGCATACGCTCCCTTCCCCTGGAAGTTTCAGGGAGATCCCTGCCCTCTCGCCCATCCCATTCTTCAGCAGACTGATCTACTTCGAGCTGAGCAAATTCTTCGATGGAGCTCCTCTCATAACAATGCGAAGAAGTGTTGGAAACATGCATGATCCTCGACTCCTCACGATTCAAGATATTCTGAGCATCGATTTGACCGCAAGCCACTTCAAGTCATCAAACCGTTGCCTGCAGCAGACAGGTAAGTGAGATGAAACGAAGTCTCTTGATGACGGTAAGATATGGAGACATACATGTTCAATCATGTTTGCTTTCAAGGCTGGTAAGATCCTCTACACCAGCCTGTGCATAGCATCCTACCACTCGAATTCTACTAATCAATCTATTACCCAACAAAAGCATTCTCGCCGTCACCACTTTCTTCATCCAACACCTTGTCTCGTTCATTTGCTTTCTGTCTCTCTCGATGTATCCTCCCTCCTCTCTCTGCTCCTCTGCTCCATTTCGAGATTTTCACCTTGCTCTGTTCGATCATCTTTCTCAAGCCAGCTTGTCCCCCTGCCCCTCCCAACCTTCTCATCATCATTCCTTTCCATGCTCACACTCATTTCCTGCGCTTCTAAACACCAAACAAGATCTCTCAAACTTTCTCTTCTGCTTGCTTGTTTTTCTCTTTTTCTTCTCTTCTTCTCTCATTTCTCCCTCTCATCCAATTGTCCATGGCCTGCTTATGTTCATTCAGCACATTTTGGTTTTATCAAATCGGTCTTATCAGGCCTAGGTCAAAGGGGTCCTAGCTGTCATATGGCTGCAGGGACACGGGGGGGTGAGGGGGGGTGCAAAGCGGAGGGGTGGGGGGTACTCTGGAGGGGTACGTCAATGCAATCCAAGGAGTATCAAAGGATGGGGTACGGTGAAGAACAATGGAGACGGGGGTAGTGGGTTTCTAGAGGTGGGGGTTAATATACCAGGGGTAGTAGGAATATGAGGACAAACAACAATATGGAGGGGTAGGTGGAGGTCCTTGTTGGTAGGGGTAGAGAATTTTCATAGCAGCTGGGTGACCAGGGGTGGTACCCAAACAGTACTGGTGGGGTCCATATTTAAAAAGTTTTCGGCTTTATCTTTAGAACAGGTCCCACATTGGATCCAAACTTGGATCTTTATCGTTTAAATTTGGGAGGATTCTCTAGAATATTTCATCTCTGTTGTCATATTGGCGGTGAAGGAGGCGATTTTGTTGGTAGGGCTATTTACGAAACGATGCTTTTAAAAATAGTTGTAGAGGGCATTATTTTTGTGTGAAGATTTGATAATCGTTGTGATCGACAATCACTTGCGACAGATTCGCTTGCGGGAGATGTTGCGAGAGAATGATTGTGTTCTCTGTGTTGAAGTATCTATCTGGCAGTTGAGAGATAGCACAGAGAAGAGGTTGGCATTGAATGAGTCTGGACACGTGAATGTCCAAGTTTGAAGCTTTGACCAACGAAAGGTTAACGGATGCAGCATCGAAACGAGACTTGTTTGAAAAGTGAGTACCAAACTTACTTTGAAAGAAATGCACGAAGATTGCAATCCAAGAAATGCTTGACGAGTCCTCCTGGATACCTGCAGGGAGAAATTCAGCACAGAGCGATGGGGTACTGATTCTTGCTCCTTACCCGACGGAACAACAAGATCCTGTCAGATGGTGTCATCAATTTGACCAGACTATTATGCTCGATCAGATCGCTCAGGTGTACATCTGGCACGCTGGATTTGAAAGTGGCAATCCGAGGAGGATGGCAAGGACGCTAACGATCGGGGGCACACAATATACAATGCATAGCACCGTTCTCTGTCCCTTGGTATTGAGAAAGAATGTTCAGTGCAGCATTGATGTCACGAGACACTATGCGAGTTTTGAAACACTTGGTGGACTCACACCATTTCAACCATCACACCGCCCGTCTCTTGAGATGAAATACACTGCCCCTGAGGATCCGGACGTCTGAAATTTTATAATTTTGTACCACATCGATGACAGTCCGCTGTCGTATGTCTTTCATCAACATAAAAAATGCACATCAGCACGGTAGCTTCATGATAGCTTCACGATATTAGCTTCACGATATTAGCTTCACGATATTATCTTCACGATATTATCTTCACGATATTATCTTCACGATATTATCTTCACGATATTATCTTCACGATATTTTGTTTACGATATTATCTTCACACGATATTAGCTTCACGATATTAGCTTCACAATATTAGCTTCACAATTGTTCTATTATTTTCACGATATTCGGTTCACAGTAGCGTCACTATAGCTTCAGGATATTAGCTTAACAATTGTTGCACGACATTAGCTTCAGGATATTCGCTTCATGATATTTGCTTCTAGATATTAGCTTCTAGATATTAGCTTCACGACGTCAGCTTCATGATACCTTCATGATACCTTCATGATACCTTTATGATACCTTCATGATACCTTCATGATACCTTCGTGATACCTTCGTGATACCTTCATGATACCTTCATGATACCTTCATGATACCTTCATGATACCTTCATGATACCTTCATGATAGCTTCATGATAGCTTCATGATAGCTTCACGATATTATTTTAAGGATATTAGCTTCATGATAGCTTCGTGATAGCTTCGTGATAGCTTCATGATAGCTTCACGGTATTCGCTTGGACTTCACGGTACCCTAGCATATCATCGCTACAGAAGAGCCATAAAAATCTCAATAGACTCTCCCAGGAGTGAGTTTGGAGAGTCAAGGATGTGTCAAGTACGATCCTCTGCGGTTCATAAGCTGTTTCCTATCCAAAGGCAAAAACGAAGTTAAAAGAATTCTACTTTGTTTCATTGACATTCAAATTACAGACTACACATCATTTACATTTTGTAAGTACTCGTCGGCTGCCTTGGAGTAATCGTATGCCCCTGTCTTTGCCGCTACATTGTGCTTCCCACTGCACATGGCGTCGCCCCACACGCTGTATCCTGCCCAGAAGTAGGGGGAGGCGAAAGGCCTCGGAAGACTGTCCGGGTTGGAGGAGCGAGAGACTTCCTCGAAGCGTCGGACCTTCTCGTGCCACGTCATCGACTTAAGCTCGTCTGGGAAGCCCCTGAGGTACTCGAGCTCGGTCGCGTTCCTTAGCCACATCTGCACAGGAGGGTCAGCCACCGACGCCCTTCCCCTCCCTCTCACTCCACCTGCGTGTCTCGCAGAGCCGACGCCACGTCCTGACCTCCGTGAATCAGCCTGTCGTAGAAGGCGTGCCAGAAGATGGCGCGGCACTCGTGGTCCACTACCCAGTACGAGGCGACGACGCAGTTCGATCCAGCGATCAAGAAGCCGAGGGGCCATGCGACGGTTGAGATGTCGGGGGAGCTTGACAGGGAGCTCGGGTCAGGAAGATTGCTCTGCAAGCTTGTCAGGGCGCTGAAAGAAGCAGATGACGACCTGTTACCTGTCGATTGGATGCCAGCACGACTACTCTACACACTGGAAGCTCCCAAGCAGATATCTTGTCTCCTCCAAGAACTTCTCCGTCTGCCATGGGGATGACCAGGCTCGAGGAGCTGCTGAATTTGCTTTGAGAGCGACAGCTGAAGTGTAAGACGTCGGCGTTGCTTGACGAGACGTTTACAACCTTGACTTCGTTGCTCTTCATCCTGTGAAGATCCTCGTTGATCTTGGAAGAATGAGCTTCAATGTCGCTGATCACTCGCATCTTCCGGAAACACGACTTGAGTGCTTTCCACTCGTTCTCGATGTTGGAGCAGGCTTGCCCGTCGCGCGGTTTGCCGATCGCAAGCACCTTGAGCATCGGGGCGAACCTCATGTTGATATCCCTGTGCTGCGACCACGAGAGGTACTTGATGCAAGGCGAGTAGGCGATGCCAAGAGGAAAGCGATCAAGCATGCAGACTGGGTCCTCCGCTTCCTCCTGTCTGTCCAGAGGCAGAGCGTGGAGGGGGACGTGGGCCAGACGACCCTCAGGGATGAGGATCAGTCGTTTGACGCGCGGTGACACCATCTTGACAAGGCTCTTGACTCTCAGGGCATGACTGAGCTCTGCCAGCTTGTCGTTGCGGTTGAAGCTGTCTCCCTCGATGCTGAGGTTCTCCAGACATCGATCGATCTTCTCGACTTCAGCCTCACTATAGCACAAGACGCGGGGACAGTCCTCCTTCCACTCCTTGAAGAACACAAACCCCATCTTGTCTCCGAAGTACCATTCCACTATCGCTGTCTCGTAGTGTTCCACCGGATCACTCATCCACAGGCAAGGGTGCTCATCCTCCAGAGGTGAAAAGAATCTCAACATTGAGGCTTTTCCATCCTTGGACTGCATTGCGACCTTCTCCCGCATCGACAACAGCTGCATTGCATACTTGAAGAGTGCTTCTTCCTTCTTGAGCGACGAGATGCTGTCGCCTTCAGATTCTCTCTGCAGTCTTTCTACCTTTCGCTGCATCTTCTCGTATGAACTTCGCATCTTCTCACTCAAGTTGTTCACAACACAACCTCTGCTTGCCTCGCTGAGCAGCAGCTGACCAAATGAGTACCCATGACTCCTCTCGGCGTATGAGAGGGCCTGCGCCGGTTTTCCCAGTAGCAAACAAGTTTTGACGCACCCGGTGAAGGCAGATTTCAAGGTGTTCCATACTGTAGTTTGAAATCTTCTCGATCCACCTGAAGACCCCAACATAACCGATGCCAACGTTTCACAGACTCCTAGCGCGCTTTCAAATCTTTCCTGCGCATCTTGAATCCCCTTTTTGTTGTCGACATCTACTGATCGAAGACATATCATCGTCGAGTCCCCAAAGCTCAGCAGCCGAAGTTTTGCTTCAGAGTACTTCACTTGCGTCTTTGCATACTGCAGAGGAAAAGTCTCATAAGAGAATACATCCAGAGCCTTCGAGTAATGATCGATTGCCGTCTCGAGTTCGCCGTCGGTGTTTTCTTTCAAGCTCCTCATTGCGAAAGCATCCGCCATGTTCAGGTGGATCTCTGCTTCAAGGCACATGAGTGAAACCCGCTCCTCTCCAACAAGCCTTGGCAAGTTGGAATTTGCCAGCGTCAAGTAATCGGTCGCTTCCTTGTAACAGCCTGCGTAAGGGATTAGGACGCATCAAGTCAAGACAAGATAGAATACCTGCAGCAAGAAACACCTTGCCAATCTCGAGGAGAGCAGATACGAAGTCTTTCGGAGCTGCATCAGCTGTGTACAACTCGAAGGCTTTACAGAGATAATCTGCTGACATCAACCAGGTCTTGGGATTGTTTTCCTTCGTTGCAGCGTGTTTGTAATATTCACCGAGCCCCACATATGCAGCCTGCAACTGCCGAGTGTTGTGATCTTTCTTGTCGATTCCTACAATGGCTTTTTGAAAGTAGTTTTCACACTGATCTTCGAGCTCTGATTCTTCTTCTAAATGTGACAGTGATGACAGGCAATAGAGATATGAATATCCTAGACAGAGTTGGATGCTTGCTTTTTCTTGGTATAAGTAATCAAGCTTATTGAGAGCTTTCCATCCTTCAATTGCGATGCGCAAGAACAAAAATCGATTATTCAGTCTCGTCGCACGGAAGCAGGAAGAGCATATTCGATTGACCTTCGCTATCTTTGAGTTACAAGCACCGAGTGACTGAGCGATTCCTCGTGCAAGTTTGTCCTCTACTGCCTTTGTGCTCAACATCATAGGACTGTTGTTTCCAGAGTCACCGTTGCTCGAAAAATCGGGTGAAGCATCATCGATGTCTTGGAAGCCATGCGAAGAACGCTCTAACTCCACGAGCAGACTCTCTTCGTTGCAGCCGGCCATAGCAGAAGTCCAGCTTCTCAACACTGTAGAATGATACTTTGGCAGGAGAAGTGAGTCCCATCTCTTTAACACTGCCAGGACGTGATTCGAGTTGCACGAGAGCAAATTCTTGATGAAGGCGTTGCTCAGAGCTGTTTTGTTCTGGTACATCTTGAACAAATCATCAGAGCACAGCGTTGAAATTCTAGGATGATCCCGGAATAATTCTGTTATTTTGTCCATCAAGTTTCTCACAGTCTGAAAATCATTGATAAAAGCACTGATCTGATATTTCCTCTCGAACCCGTCGAGAAGTTGAGGAAACTTTTCGATGCAAGTTTCGGCATCAACCATTGCCAAGTGAATATCCCCCAGTTGCTGAAAGGCCCTAAGACATGGGAATCAGATCCATTCAAGGCAAGACAGGAGACTGAAATACCTGCTACGAGCACACAAGAACCAAGCTGGCTCAGAAGTATCTTCAAGTACCCCAGTCACGAAAGTAATCGCTGCTTCGGCCTTTCCCATCTTCAGTTTGTGCGTTGCAAACTCTTTCTGGAGGGCTAGTTTGACGTCTTTCAAAACATCCTGTACCGCTTCTTCCTCTTCAGCATCGAATACCTTAAGGGCGTCGCTGAATTTATTCGTTCCTTCAATTCTCAACATCAGTCGACATCAAAAGCATAAAGCACAAACTTACTCAGTTCATCTTGAAAAGACTGCAGGTAGTTGGACACCACTGCCTTGCTCCTCCTCTTGATGACATCATCTAACTTTCTCTCGAATAGCAGTTGCTCAACAAACAAAAGCTCATCATTTTGATTGTTTGAGTTGACATCCGACAGGCTGCTCTGTACTGACACATCGTCCGATGAATCATCTTCTTGGAAACATGAAACACTGTATCTGCATCGTCGAGCTCTTGAATGTCACCAGGTATCGAAAATTTGCGGTTGCCATATTCGGCCTGCAAATTTTGTAATGACGCTTCGTTGAAATAGCTGTTGTTGATATCTTCCATTGTTGACGGTGCTTGCAATCCTTTACTCCTGTGGCAGATAATCAGAAACTTAATGAAGCGCACTGCTAGAGCAAGGCTAAGCAACTTTTTCCCTTCCTGACATGCTCTAATTTTTTAGCATCAACCATTTCCCATGAATTTGTCACGCGTGCGCGCTGACTTAATGGAGCTAACCTCTTCATTTTCCTTCCACGCGACTCCTCTACTCTTATTCCCCGATCCCTTCTTCTTACTTCAACCGCCTTTTCTCTTCCTGCCATCTCTAGCTCTGTTCTCGATGGGCCCTCCCCGCTTCGCCATCTGCATTATCATCTTGATAAATTTGCCTGCCATTTCCTCCGATGTTCCTAAATCACACATACAACCCCTCTTTCCTTCAGATACACTCTCACCCCACCCCCTCCATGTTCAGATCTTTCGATGAAATCCCTTCATACCGTGAACCCCTTCCCCGTGATCCCTACCCCCCGCCTGGATGCATCGCTCAATCTTTCACCCCACCGTTTTCCTAGATACAACCTACCCCTTGCTATGATAAAAAATACCGTTCCAGAACCACTCACCCCCTTTCTCATAACCCCACCCTCTCACTTGCTAGATTACCCGACCCCTCGGTTTCATGACCATAACTCGTCTGACCCTATTTCTACTTTAGGGCAGTCCCGGACTATCCCAACGGTAGCACCTGATCTTCTTTATCGGAGCGGGGTCCCCCTCCATCATCATCACTACTCACAATGGTATACTCTCGTCATTTGCTACCCATAACTTTTCACTCAACTCATAAATATATATGAAAATTGAGTCATCATTAAAACAATTGTTTTTACAGTGAAAAAACCGGATGCATCATACAAGATTTTCTCGTGCCGTCAAGATATGAAACGACGTCTCTTACAGATTGCATCCTGAGATCAGATTTCAACCGCTGCGGTCTCTCCCGTGACCCCACCTGGGACATTGGGAGTCAAAATGGTTACATTACCCCGACCCCCTTTTTCTATCACCCCGTACCCACCAATATCAAACGCTGAACCCCTTCAAACTGGTCGGAATATCCCTGCTACCCCTACCCCTGTTTGTAAGGGGCCAAACATATCTCGAGCAACGACCCTCAACTACTACACCACGGACCTATACACCCTACCCCCACTTAGTAGTGACTCCTGCCCTCACAAAAACGGGTCCTGGTCCAAGCTTGAAGAGCCCGCGGCCGTTTCCCTCGTCCCCCCTCATACCTGAGTCGGCTACACATCACGTAGCACCGGGTCTTGACTCTCTGCTGACAGTGAACGGTACCACCCCTCAGGCCAACAATCATGCTCTCACTGGGCCCGGTCAAATGAAGGGGTACTGAAACTAGCTTCTCGGAGTTCGGCCTGTTCCCTGAATCATCATCGAGTCCCGTGAGAGCGGAGTAGTAAAAAACTGAGTAAAAAACTTGGGACGGACGGGAGTCCGGGACTCCGACGACGGCTCCCGGAAGCCGCTCACTGAGTCAGTCCGGCCGCCCGCCGGGCCGCCCGCCGAGGCTGATAGCGGGAGTCAGCGGGCCGGACTATCGGAGCCCCCCCCGGGCCCGGCGACGCGGCGCGACGCGGCGGGCCGCCACGTTGAACCGGGCCGCCGGGCCGCGGCCGGGCCCGGGGGCCCCGTCACACGGACGGCCGGCGGCGGCCCCCGTGACGGCGGCCCCGGCGCGACCGCCAGTCAATGAGACCGGGCCGATGTGGATGGCTCGGCCGGGCTGGGGGATCAGATTCGACTCGATGAACGGCGGTCTATCACCCGGTGACCAATCGTCCTGGCCGCAGTGGCACTGAGATCGGACCCGCCGGGTCCTAGGCGCCGAGCGGGCCGGGCGGGCGGGGCCTTGCTAAAAGACCCCATAATTTGATTTCAAAAGTAGGGGTAGGGGTAGTGCATCTGATTCGTCGATTGCGCCCTGTGCTCGTGCCATGGCGAACGGTAAGAGTCTGTTGGCGCTGCTACCCTCAGCCCCCTGTCCTCCTCCTCTCCCGCAAGCTCGTCCTTCTAACTTGATGCTTCTCTGCTCACAATCTCCCCCCCTCCTCTCTGCCTGCACATGCATTGCCTGATCATCCTTTCCTGAATGCTCGCTTCCCCTCCAAACCTTTCGTCAGTCTTTCTACATCCATCCATTCGGCGTGTCTCTGTAGATGAATATCTGATTGACAAGAGATTGAGAGTCTTGTGATCAGTTTCATCACCATCGTTCCTCAGCATTCTCTTTTATTGCTATATTCACCACATCCCCTAATCACCTTCTATCTTCGGCAGAGCGAGTTGGACTGGGACTTCAGTGCAAGCTGCTCGAGCGAAGGGATTGGAGTGAAGCATGCACTAGAAACAGACACCAAGAGACAGACGATGCTGACTTGTCGGGCAAACCGGATTGGGAGCGAATATATGATCTAGCGGTTTGCAAGCCGCTGCTTCCTTTCCGCATTTTGAAGAGGTACCACGAGCTTCAGCATGCTGATCATTTCTATGCATGGCATGGTCATGTCAAAGAACAAAGGTGTCGCTTTACACCCATTCATAATTCGCTCCTGATCCTCTGACAGGAATGTGGACAACACAGCGAGCAACTACAACAACCTGATTATGAAAGCTGCAGGAGCTCTGTTGATAGTCACTGTTTGGATTATTCTCTTGCCTCGGATCTATGATCTTTCTCCTTCATGCGCATCTTTACAATCGGATGTGTCAAGTCAGTGCTCCTATACGCTGGCAGACCCCACTTGCTTTGGCACTCTGGACTCAGTAGCGAGCACTTGCAAACTGACAGGATCCTGCATTGGAACTTTCATCGGATGGACCCGAGGATTCTTGATGGTCGTGATGAACGCGCTCCTCCCTCTTCCTGCTCAGCATGGAACCGAGCAGTAAGACAAGCTGTCATTCGATTGGATCTCCTTCATAAACCTCTTGTGTGGTGCTGTAGGTATTGGGATGTTTGGATCCGACGCAAGATACGTGAAGTCTTGGTTCGACCACCGAGTGGTTCCTTTGACTGCTTGCTGACATGCAAGCAGGCGCCGCAGTCCTTGCGCAGGCGAGACGTAGAGTCTTTCCTCTTGGTTCCTTGTCGCATGCTGCCTTTACAGGTCTGTGACGAATTCAAAGTGCTCGGTGGTAACTATTATGCTTGTGAAGTATTATTGCAACCTGAGTAGCACGTGGGGACAAGAAAGACTCCGGTGGCATTTAGATATGATGCATGATGTGCTTTATCTTGAGCGGGTGAGGCGTTGGAGAATGTCCCGCCCCAGCTGATGGATGTTTGAAGTTGGAGGAAGCTGAAGGGCAACAAGACATTGATGGCTGTGAGGGATCAGACAATGCCGAAAAAGATGACGGAGAGTCTGGTGAAACTTCCAAGAGATCAGATTCAAACTCGAGCATGCCGGATGCTGGATCTTGTAAGCAGAAGTCCAAGAAGAAAACTGTGATTTCTCTCCTTATAAGTCGTCTTGCTGACACTTGCTGGCACCAGAGCCTGTGGGAGCGAAAGCGATGGAAAGGCGGAAGACGGATGGCGAAGAGAAATGCACATACATCAAAGACTCATTATGCCGCGTATGACAGATTATGCATGAAGCAATTCGGTACTTTGGCGTCGGAGGCTTTTCCTCCATAGCATCTTCTTACATGATCCTCCAGGTGTCGGGGCGAAGTTTGATGGGGAGATGTGCGCATGCCAGGAAGGTTATGTGGTCAAGGTATGTGAGGGATTAGAAGGACCAGACAATCTGACTGCCTTTCCTAGGGAGGTCGATGCGTTGAGTCGCCTGTTCATAGCGCTGCGGGACCCAAATGCTCGAGCGAACACCCAGAAACTTGCAGCCAGCAGAGGCATCAGCCGGAGATGAAGAGAAGAACACGAGTCCTAGCCCGCAGTATCGACGAGTACGAGGCCCCGGGTCCCACCGAGGCATCAGCCGGAGATGAAGAGAAGAACACGAGTCCTAGCCCGCAGTATCGACGAGTACGAGGCCCCGGGTCCCACCGAGGACGATCGAGACATTCACGCAAACGGTAGAGGGAGGGAAGATTTGTAAATAATCATGGAAACTACTCACGGGAAAAAGGCGCTCATGTATTCTAGTTGGCGAAATATTGTTGAAATGTGATAAGCAGATAAACAATCAATGTTCAATGGTCCCACGTACAGAAGGATCAATGTTCACAAGATCTTGTTGTCGAAATCGATCTGATGTATTGGCTGAATCCTACCCGACGTGAAAATGATCTTCGTTATGGTGCTTACGAGGGGCTGCTGTCCACATATGCAGGTGGCTGATTGCGATGCGACCGGGCGGCAGACCTGCGGCATCTTACGGAATTGAGGGAGCAGGAGTGTCTCACCCATCCGATGTTTGTTGCTCTCTATGCCGCTCACCTGCCAGACCCTCGACTCGTCTGCACGCCATCCTCACACACTAACGACGACGAAAGAAATCAAGACAAACCTTGAGCTGACAGCTCTGCATAGATTGAAACAGCCTGCAGGGTATGCTCACGTAAACTACATACGATATGCTCACATACACTACAAGCATGTGATGTCGTAGACTACAAGCATGTCATGTCATAGACTACAAGGATATGCTCACATACACTACAAGCATGTCATGTCATAGAGTACAAGGACACGCTCACATACACTGCAAGTCGTTCTCCCTCACCTCCTGAAGGGCTGCATCAGCTGCAGGGCGGAGAGAAGGGTCCTTGGCAAGCATCTGACGGATCAAAGTGGCTATGCGAGGCTGGGCGGTGACAGACTTGGGAAGGGGTATTTCCTTGCAGCAGCAAAGGTGAGGAACGAGAAGAGGTAGGGGGAGAGCTTACTTGAGGGTTGCTTGTGATCTGACCGATCTGATAGGCCTGCATGTCGGCGTCACAAGTTGAGGAGGACGAGGAGCTGTTGAGGGACCGTGTTGAGAACGTCGACCCTCTCCATTGCTGTCTTGAACGATGCCATCAGCTGCATAACAGTCAGGTAACAGTAAGACGGGTCAAGGTGGACCTGAAGGAACACTACTCCCACAGCATAGATGTCGCACTTCTCGTCGTACTTCTTGCTCCTGGTATTGAGCAGATTACAGCAAACCCGAGCATCAAGTCTTGCCCACTTGCTCTGCTCCGGTGCCATGTACGTCGGAGTCCCAGCGCCTTGTTAGAGAGATTCACATGGACAAACGACAGGAATCTCGTCATGCAGACCTGCCGTGTGCTGCAGCAGGTGAAAGTTTTGCGTCTCGTGCGCGTCGGAATCTTTCAAAGTCTCCACGTCCTGCGCGAGCGTCACGCTGGCGACCTCGCGGTCATCGTTGCTGCACCTCGTAGGCGAGCGCAATGCAGGACGCGGTCGCAAGCCCAAAGTCTCCCAACTTCACGACAGTACAATCACCGAAGTCATCGGTGCCGTGAGTGAGAAAGAGGTTCGCCGGCTTGATGTCCCTGTGGATCAGTCCGTGCAGATGTACCTCCTTGACTCCTCGAAGCACTTGAATGATCAACGAGACGGCAACCAGTGGATTCATTGAGGTTCGAAACAGAACCGTCTCCATGGTTATGAACCCACAATGCTCCATCTGAATGAAAACTTCCATGTCTGCTCCCAAGCCGCTGACCCATTCCTTCGCTTCTTCACCCCCTTTGTGCTGCATCAGCATCTTCTCATTGGTTGGGTTGACTTGTGTGCTCACAGCTGCAGCATCGGAATCAGCAGGCTTGACGTGAGATCGCATCTTGAACGATTCATTCTCATCCTCTTCCGACTCCGAAGAGCTGGAGTGAGCCTTTACAAACGTGGGCAACCTCTCATACAGATCCACTTGTTGCGTCTCTTCCTCATGCACCAGGTTGGGTTGGTTGCTCGTCTTGGCCGATCTGTCATCCTCGGGTTCAATAGTCGTGGCAAAGTTGGAAACCCAGTTGACCTCCAGCCAAGAGCTGTAGTATCGCACAATGTTGGGATGACTGAGAGACGCGATGCTCTTCGCTTCTGATAGAACTCGTTTCTGCAGTCGTCTCGCCACCGAAGCTGCTCGAAAAGATTCTAGGCTGACTGGTTTGATCCTTATTCTCTTGATCGCATAGACCTGCTTACAAGTTTAACGACTGTCCCTTGCAAGAATTGACATTCTTAGAAGACTCAACACGATGTTCTCAAGAGAATCAACATTCTCATGCAAATCAACGATCTTCTACATTCGTCTAAGAGTCAACTGCCTCATACCTGTCCATCGATCTTGTGGCGAGCTGTTGTAACCTTGCCGAAGGCTCCACTACCGAGCACTCCCAGCTCGTCGAAGTCTTTCTCATATCTTGTGGGGCTGAAGTTAGGATGCAGGGCCCTCATCTCAACGTCCATCCTAGGGTCGTTGACGCTAGGGACGATAGAGGCGATCTTCTGAAAGGCTCGTCAACACATGGAGGGATCGCAAGTAAGAATCACTTTAGAATCGTCGAGCGGCAGGGCCTTAGGGTAGAGGTTTGTGCTGTCACTTCCAAACAGGTTCTGAAAGGCTGTGGAGAACTGATTCTGAAGTGCCTGAAGGAGAGTCAAAGGCAAGCACGAAGAGGTGAACCTACCGGCAGGTCCTTGAGGAAAGTCACTGAGTCCAAGATACCTTGCTCGTATAGCTAGAGTCGTGCGGTCACGGTAAAATCATAGAACAGGACGGCAGCAGACCTGCTGGCAGAGAGAGAGAAAACCTGCCGGGTTCTTCTGGTCGCGTATGCAGGTATTCCACAAGAGCCACACGATGATCTGTTGTCTTCGCTGCGACAGCAACGACTTTTCCCCTCTCGAAGCAAACCTTGACCAGCTTCTCCCCTCACCCCCTGCCTTTGTTGCCTTGCGGCCTACATGGTAGCCGAGTTCAGTCGGCTGGGAGGCGCCTGACCCCTCGTGCTCTAAGTCTGCGCGGGCGAGCTCTTGGACTTCCTTCTCTTCTAGCTTCTGCACGATTGCTCGAGACAGACTTTCGTCGGCAAGTACGGTGGCGATTCTTGCATTCGACTTTCCCTCGCTCTGGATCGCCTGCTCTACTATGCTGGCTTGGAGAGCGATCCGATCAAAGAAGGAAGAGGAGTTCGAGTCCTCTTCGTCTCTGGTCTCTGACTTGTCTTGAAGGTTGCTCCTAGCGCGCAGCATCTCGTTTTCAGCTTTCAGTCTCCGAACTTCGCTTTGAAGAAAGGCAAGGTCTTGCTGGCCCGACAAGTGCGATTCCATCGTCGGACTGGGAGGATCAGGTTTGCTGCAGCTTCTGTTCATCGACGATGCTTCTCCGTGCATGAGGAGGGCGGCGAGGCTTGCCAAGTTCTGCAGCCTGAGCGTTCGGATCTGGTCGATGGAGACATGATGGTTGAGATCAGAAGAAGGAACGACTTGCAGAAGGGATGAGAGCAGGAAGAAGATGCAGGGGCTCACGCTTCCTCTCCTTCCGAGCCTCGCCCTCCTCGCCATGCTGATCCTTCTACCTCCCTTCTGTCTCACCTATCAAGCCATGCTTGCGGTCTATCGTCAAGCCCCTTTACAATAAGCAGTAGAGAAAAAGAAAATTGATCGGACTCCTTTTGGGGCCCGGCATCCCGGCCACATCCCCGCTCATAACTCTCCATATCGGCGTCGACCCACCCCCTCTGTCTCCGGGTCGGAATGGAGGGTACCCTCTTTTGTACCTAGGTTGTAGCGGTGACTGTAGGGTCCATTGGAAATTGGTGGGATGTATAAGTACATTGGTGGTGCTTCTTGTAGGATGAAGGAGTGAGGCTAATAATTTCATAGTACTTGATTTAAGAAATTACTCCTCTATGCCTAGGTTGAAATCAGAATAGAAGTAGAGGGGGTGGGGGTAGAAATGTCAAGGGGTGTCTGGTACAAAAGAGAGCATTGGTGGAAAGATGGGGTGGGGTCTCCCCTAAACTTCGCCGCGCAGGAGGAAAGAGCTTGTTCGGGTTGCGGGAGGACGGAATGATGGAGGGGAGGAAGAGGGAAGGAGAAGTCAGGAGAGAGACTGAGAGAGGAAAGAGAGAGATGAGATGCGATCGCACAGAAACTCCAATGACACACCACGTCGAAGTGAGGGGGGGGGGAAGGCAACCGCAGATACGAGTGAAATGTTTGTGTTGATAGTAAAAGGGGAAGGAATCGGGCAAGAGATCAGAAGGATGTGAATGAAATTCAGATCGTCGTAGTCGTCTGAAACGAACTAAATATGTTGTTAGCAAAAAGAAAGGAGACATGAATATCCGGCTCAAATAGTGGCGGATCCAGGTTGCAGGTGGGCATGTAGTTGCAAACAGTCGAGTGGTGAGAGAGGATAAAAAAAGCCTCGCAACTCCAGCAACTTCATCATTTCTGAAAGGTTGCATGAAATGCGAGGCTTATGGGAGGACAAGGCGGGAAGAGGAGGGCTGGAAGTGTTGAAGATTCTGCAATGTTGACTAGGTACAAAATCAGTTGAGGTGAAGTGTGAAAGAAACGATGGTGTAGGCAGATGGAAAGAAAGAGTCTGCAGAATTGCAGGAGCATGAAAGCGATTGGAATTGTGCTGATGATTCCTGTTCAGGGATGGTTGTCCGACTAAGATAGTGGACATCGGGAGCTCCCACCCTCGCTGCGGTTCTTTCCGTGACAACGGAACCTTCATCTGCTCAGGCACGAGTTCTGCTCCCCTCGGAACCATGAGCTGTCGAACTTAACCTGCTCCCTTCGCTCTCGGCAACTTTGAAGGACCTTGAACATGGGTCAGTGCCTCTCGGCGAATGTCAAAAAGAAAAAGAAGAGCGATGACAGGGCGCAACATAAACCCTCGTACCTGGGGCCGGATGGCATTGAGCATAGATTTATGGATACATCCCATAGTGAGGAGAAACCAGTGCGAGGGGATGAAAAAAGTTCTTTTGACCCCCGAGATTTCGACTTGGAGCCGGACCATGTCTCGCAGGTGGTTCACAACCGGCCGGAGCCTGTCAACGTTCCCTCAGGTGGCTTCTCACTATCGGTAGAAGTCGGTCGCCTCGATCAATTCATCAAGTCTGACGAAGAGAAGGCAAATGGTAAGGCAGAAGTTTTCGCCCAGTCCAGGCAAGAGGCGAACGGGGAGACGAACTTCACTGATCAGAACGGCAAGGGAGGGGAGGCCTTGGTCAAGCGCACTTTATCTGCAGCTCCAATGATACGATCGTTCCCTCCTGTTGGCGTCTCCATCCTGCTCAAGGATGAAATGTCCAAGTATGTGAATGATGCCACGACGCTGGAGATGATGGACCTTGCGATCATACAATCCCTCGCGCAAGCTCTTGGGACAAGGGTCGAGAGATTTAAGATCATGCCTTCGCATTTGAAAGAGAATTTCGTGAACTTGAACGTGCTGGATGGAAGAGACGAAGAGGATCAAAGATCTCCCATGCAACTCGCTGCAGAGTTGGTACGAGAGGTGCAGGACTCCAGCAGCAGGTTACATGCGGATGCAGCTTGCAGGTTTTCAGATGCGAGGATTGCTGAAGATCCATTTCAGCCGAAGCGAATTCAGAGCTCCAACACCTTGAACAAGCTCAAGAACTTGGAAGGTCATCACAACGTGCCGGAGATCCAATCATCGAACTTTAAAGTCGCAGACAAGAAATTTCCGTTTGACATCTCGCGGGTTAAAAATACGTCGGAGCTTCCTGGAAACGTTCTGGTAAAGGACGGAGGAACGTATGCAGGGGAGTTGGAGAACGGGTTGCGACATGGCAGAGGGAAGCATCATTATGCCAACGGCGATGTTTATGTGGGATGCTTCGAGAACGACAAACGTCATGGAATCGGCCGGCTCACGCTGGCCAACGACAGAGGAACTTATCTGGGGGAGTGGCTGGGCGACCTGAGGACAGGGAAGGGATCGTGGGACTACCAGGTCTTGTGCATGCTGCTCCTCTTTCGCCTCACTTAAGTTGCAGCCTCTCCAGCCAAACAAACACGTCTATGTTGGGACGTGGAAGAGTGGATTGAGGGAAGGGGAGGGAAGGCTGGCAATGGCAGATGGCTTTTGGTACAAAGGGGAGTTCAGACAAGACTTTATGCATGGCCATGGTTTCATGCAGATGGAAAACAAGGATATGTTCGATGGAAACTTCTTTCAAGGTAAGACAATCTCTCGTGCCTATGGTGATGAAAAGCTGCCAAAAAACGTGTAGGAGTGAATTATCACTTGCGTTCATTCATGAGTTTTGCTATGACCCATTATAAACTGTTGGCAGGATGGATTCATGGGCCGGGGACATGGACGTGTGCATCTACTGGCAAGTCTAAACATTCCTACTGGAGCCTCGGAACAGAACTGGAGAGGATGACTGCGGTAAGTTCGCTCCTCGCACTCTGGTAGAGGTGACGTCATTGATTTCTGCCAGGACGAAGCGATGGCTGAGATCAACATGGTGGTGGCGGAGGCGTTGCGGAAGCCATGTCCGCTGGGTCCACACCATCCTACCAAAGACGCCGCGGACTTCTCGCATGTGGATCACCTTCCCTATCACAAGCTGCTGCAGCACAACGATCTTGACAAGGAGAGGTCCAACGGAGTCAGAAATGCGCAGGTGCCGGCGCAGCCTGCAGTCGGAATGCGGCAAGAAGCTTCGAATGTGATGGCTGAGTTGAGCACGTGCATCTCACTGACTGTTTGACAGGCTGAGTCTGCGGTTGACAAGATGACAGGTTGACTGTTGACCGACCTCGTTCTTTGAACTGACTGGAGCATGCAGATGGTCGCGGAGGGAGCATGCGAGATGCAAACGGCAGAAGTGAGAGATCGACGACTGCTACGGTGACTTGCCATCTCATCCATCTCGTCGGTTGGTGACTTTCATCTGCCCCGACAGGGTCTCATCAAGCGCAAGCCACAAACTTTGCAAGGTTTGTGAATCAGAAACTCCTTGAGAGGGCTGACAGCCTGCGATGTTGCCAGGAGGGGACTTATCAAGCGACGACTTGCTGAAGGAGGTGTGGACCTCTTGTGCTCTTGTCCTCTATAGACCTCTGGTTTGCTGCAGAGCCCCTTGTCTTCTATGGGCTTTCCCTCTGTTAGCTCTTGTCTTCTGACCCTTGCATGTCTTGATTCGCCTTTTGACCTTCGAACAGGTTAAGCCTCCGGTTCGTCCAAGTCGATCTGGCGCTCAGCTATCGACATCTCAGACGTGAGGCCGCTAGCTGAACTCTTGCCGGCATTTGACAGCTTTGACAGGCTGTCGCTTGTGGCCGAGAAGTTGTCAAAACTGCAGGAGCTGCAAGATCGATGAGTCTGACATCCCCCGCCGTCCTGCAGCTGCTTGCTTGGAGTTTTTCTGTTTTGATATCCTGGTTGTCTATATGTTGGAGTATTCTTTTGTTGCTATATTCTTGTACACTTAGTAAAGTCGGATTTGCAAATGAAACACACAGGAGAGAGAAATGAAAGATGGTTGATTGCTCGTCAAAGCTGGAGATGGAGCTGACTGCAGACGGTCATGATAGCTAGAGTTTTGAAGCTGGTGCTTCAATAATCGCTGATGCTGATACTTATGCTGAAGTTTTTGATAATTTCAATCATGAATATGAGAAGGATGGTTCAGTCGCCCAGGATAATTCACTGAACTTCAGATGCATCTTCGATGATTTCGCGAACCCTAAGGCATTGCATCCGCATGCGCTCCAAACTGTTCTTCATTTCATACCACCTGACACTTCCTAAGGGCCACAAACAAGCTGAGAATTTCCCATCTTACCTGTATTTCCTTTCAGTCGATGCAGGCAGCAGGGGTATGAGAAAAAAGGACAACTGCACAAATATCAGCAACTGGGTGCTCGTCCGTTGATCCCCTCTGTTCTCTGAATCACAACACACCTGATCTGCGTTGAGCTTTGCAAGTCTGGACAGCATCATATCCAGGTTAAGACCTTCTGCTCCTACGATAACTTTGCTCAAGTTGCCAAGAATCTCAGACTTGATCATTTCTGCGGTGTCGCCATCCTCCTCAGCTATCGGCTCGTCCTCAAACACCTGCTCGCTGCTCACTCCCGTCTCTTCCTCTCACCCTTTGGTCTCCTGACCTCGCAGCGTGCAAAATGAAGGCCGAACCTGCCCGGAGACAGATGGGCGTCTCGCACGTGCACGCGAGCCACCCCCACGACTCGAATGTCGCACGTGCCATCAAGCTCTGCGCTTAGAGTCTGTCGGATCACTCGACACGCCGTTCCCACCTGTTGCCAGCCCGTCATCATCCCATCGTCCTCTCCTCTTGGTATCCACATGGTCCTAACCTTCTCTCCTGGCTTCGTCAGCACGAAAAGCGCTCCGTGGTCGACGCATGTCTTCACCATCAAGCGGTATCTCGGTTCAAACACCACCATGTCCAAGAACAAGCCCGATACCACCGGCGCAGCCCACTGGCGCAGCGTTAGGGGTCAAAAGCGAAAAAACGTTGTCGTTACAGGAAGGGGAAAGATTGGCGCAAATTCTTCTTCTCCTGGAAACGGTGACCTAACCATGTTCTCCCGGATGTACTCTTCCTCCTTAGGATCTCCCCCATGCATCTGCCCTCCACATCCTAGTCAGCCCGTATTTCCCTCCTCTGCCTCTATCCATCTCTTGCCTTTTCATCTCTTGCCTTGAACGCCACTCGCTCTGACTCTGGCACGGAAGGTAAGTGGGACGTCGGCAGGAACAATTGCTGAGTTGTGACTAGATCCGTCTTCAGATCCGCCAGCCGCATCTCTCCGAAGAGCTCCATGATCATTGTCTTCATCTGCTCGCCTGCCAGCTCTTCTCACAAACTCATTCCTTCTCTAGCGCTGATGATGACTCACCGTGTTCCTTGCTCTGAAGGACAAACCCCACGCACAGCTTGTTCGGCACTCCGTTGAGGAAAAGACGGCTTGCTTTCACTTGGCACATGAACTTGCTGGCCTCAGGGAAAAGCATCTCGAGCTTCTTGAAAAGCTCCTTCCTCTTGGTGTTCCCTGTCGTCGCAAGGAAGAAGAAAGGAGACGGTTGATCCCGTGCAAGCAGCTGACGATAAGAGTCGAGCTGCGGCAGACCATCCTGCTCTGCTGTAAACATCTCTAGCATCACCCCGTCCTCCAGCTTCAAGACGCTGATCGAGACATGATATCCCTTCGCGTTCTTGTCGGTGAAAGTTCGAGATATCATCGTCAACGAGTTCCTTCGTAACGCCTCGGGCAGCACGAGCTCCTGCTCCTCCTGTTCCTCGTGCTCCTCCGAATTGGGCGGGTAGATGACGACCAGGCTCAGATACTTGCTCAAACTTGACATGGCTCTGTCTGCTTCTTCCGCGCAGGACCTGATGGCGTGTCCTAGCTGGGGAGAGGAGAACTCGAACCGCATGACTCCCTCAACTCGCCTCTCCGTCCATGCCGACATCCGCCTCAACGGTGGACATCCCAGTCGTCTGGCCGTCCATCTGGCACTTTCTTGGTGAAGCATCATCCTCCCGCTGTTTCTTGCGACACATGCTCCCAGCCCACGGCAAGGCATCGACCACATTGACATCCTGTGAACCTTGCGGAGAAACTGCGATAGACTTCGGAGCCCGCTCATGGTAGCCTAGCCAACTTTTGAGCTCACTATGCTTCTCCTGCAGCATGGAAACGTTAGAGAAGACACACAAGTGATAGGTCGCTAGCACAGTAGAGGATTAGCGGAGGTTACAGCAACACCATAGTTGCACAATCGTAGGATTCAAGATCATTCGAATCAACTACATGCATATCTCCCTCATCGCTTTTCACCCTCTTCTCATCTCTTGTGTTCCTTCAACTTTTCTTCCTGGTGTTCTTCTCCCTCCCCCCTCTCCCACCTCCCTCTCCCACCTCCCTCTCCCTCCTCCCTCTCCCTCCTCCCTCTCCCTCCTCCCTCTCCAGGCTCCTCTCCTTCCCTCCTCCTTCCCTCCTCGTTCTCTCCTTCTCTCCTTCTCTCCTTCTCTCCTTCTCTCCTTCTCTCCTTCTCTCTTTCTCTCCTCCTTCTCTCCTTCCCTCTTCCCTCCTCCCTCCTCTCCTCCCTCCTCCCTCCTCCCTCCCTCTCCTTGTAAGGATGTGGCACTACCCCACCCATGCCTTCCAAACTTCCCCACACCACCGGGTGCCAGCCCCTTCCACAAACTTTACTGCCAACCGGCCCCGGCCCCGGCCGGCAGCCATCCGATGGCACAGTCACTCAGTTCCTTTTACTCAAAGTTAAGTTAAATCAGGGTGGTCTACCAGAGTTTTAGCTTAACTTTGAGTAAAGATTCGTGGTAGTGGCATGTTTTTGAAAGTTGGTCTGCCAGCATTCGCGGCTCCCTTCTGAAGGTTATTAGTTGTAAGGGGGTCCATGGCTAGCTACAGCGAGGTCGAGGCGCATGCAGAGCAAGAGGAGGAGACGCGAAGGGTCTGAGAGCTGAGAGCTCTGCTGGCAGCTGAAGTTGCTGTGAGACAGTCCGAGGGTTGCTGACATCTGCTTGCTTCGAGGGTGAAGGAAACATCTCACTCCACAGTCAAAGGCGAACCCTTGGTCAGAAACTGTGAGCGAGACGCCCTGTCCAAGAGCCTTGGAACAACATCTCGAAGCTTTTCTGCTTCCCTCAGTGAACTCAATAGCTTCTGTGTACCCCATCATGCAGAGCCGAGCGGCTCCTCTTCAACGTGGCATGCAGTCGAACGGAGTCTTTCGGAGCTCGCGAGAGGGCAGCCCAGCGTTTTCGAGTTGTCGCTCGAGCATTTCACCTGTTCCTTCCATATCTGACCGCTCGGCGTCTCCCTTCCCTGACATGCACTTGGAGGACGAGACTCGACCTGGCCTTCCGCATGTCTCGCCCAAACTGTGGATCATGGCAGAGTTCTCGTACCTCGAGCAGACCGTCGCTTCGCTCGTGCAGTTTGTGCAGGAGGAGACGGAGTCCTGCTCGTCGGGAGCCTTCAAGCGAGGCGATACAGACAGGCGACCTGGTGGCATCAGAGAGAGCGGGCTCGTAGGGCTAGCGTTCGATGACGACTACAAGGTGATGGAGCTCGTGCCGTGCTCGCCTGCGGATGATAGCAGACTCATCATGGTGGGAGATCAGCTCCTCTCTGTTGACGGACAGGAAGTTCAAAGCTTTATTCGAGCAGGAGCAAGCTCAGAGACGCTCCTCAGTGGCCCCGTGGGCTCCTACGTTGAGCTCGTGCTGACCAGAGGAGAGGGAGTGAAGGCTCATCTTGTGCGGGTGAGCCTGCAGAGGACGTCGAGGTCCATCGTCCTGCGTCGACTTTCACTCCGACATGATGTGGAGACGCTGCGAGCGTTTGTAGAGAGCGTGCTGAGAGAGAGAGCTTGCGCTCCCTCGGATGAGAAGTCCGAGTGCCGGTCCTGTGTCAGGCTCAAGAGCTTCAACGCGCTTGCGACGCGGCGGATGCAGCGGGTGATTGAGTTGAACGTACAGCTGTTTGAGGAGAGGAACCGTTTCTCCCTGCGTCATGCTGAGTTGCAGGAGGAAGTTGAGCGCGCTAAGGCCGTGGTCACTCAGCTCACCTCCATGGTGGAGGAGGTTGAAGGTGTTGTGGGCAACGCTGAGAGTCAGCTGGTGGAGAGCTCGAGAAGCTCGAGGATGCTGGAGAATCGTGAGACAGGCTCGGAGACGCATATTAATGCCTTGCTGGCTGAAAACAGAGACTTGAAGGCAAAGCTGCAGGAGGAGGAGGAGAGGTTGAAAGAGACTCGGCAACACATGGAGCTTCTTCAGGAGGAGAACGTGAAGCTCAGGAGCGGGGGAAGCAAATCGAGCTCGCAGTCGACAGAGGTAGGAAGCAACCAGCAGAAGCAGATGCAGGAGCTCTCAGAGACTATCCGCTCGCTCGAGGAGAGCTGGCAGGATGTTCTCTCTGTCCTCCCGAAGCCTTCGGAGGCTTCCCGGGGAAGGAAACAGACTTTCCCGCTTCCCTCTCCCCAGTCAGGTGACCGTGAGATTGTGAAACACCAGGGCCTGGGATCGTACGTGGCTCGCCAGCTCGACATGCTTGCGCGAAGTATGCTGCGAGCAGCGGAGGAAGAAAGGAATGTCTGTTAGCTACACATGCTACAGTATGGAAGGAAGGAGAGAGTCAGTTGAGCGGGGGGAGGGGAAGGAGAGTCAAGCAACAGAGGGAGGAGAGCATTGTAGGTCAAAGTGAGCATAAAGCGTTATAGAGGTATACTCTCAGCCTTAGGCCTCACTCGTCATCTCCTCATACATCTCGGCAACCGCTTCCTGATATGCTCGAGAGATTTCCTCAGCCTCCTGCATACGCCCGCAGTCATTCCTCCACGAGAGTTCTCCTTGTCCTTGTCCTTGTCCTTTTCCATCTCCGTCTCCTTTCTTTGCACTCATCTTTGCAGTCCCTGAGCCTCCTCTCTCGACATTGGCCATTTGCATGTTGTCGAGGAAATGCCGTGCGGCCTGCAAGATGTGAGAGAAGGAGAGGAAGAGAACTTGTCACCGCAAGTTCTGCTGCAATTCTCTGCTGGTTCCAGTCTTGCCGCGACCTCTTGTCCCTTTCACCTGCAGTCAACAACTTCAGCTCGTTCTCCTCCAAGTGCTGCACACCTGGAGAAGCGCCTGCAGTTGCTCGCTGTTGGAAAGCGGGAGAGGATGAAGAGGTCGAGGAGGGAGAGGAAGAGGATGGGGAAGAGATAACAGATATCTTCCCGCAGCTGTCATCGTTCGGCTTAAGTTTGCCTAAAAGTTGTCAGAGAAGCAAAAGGAGAAAAGAAAATGGAGGGAAGGGAAGGGAAGGGAAGGGAAGGGAAGGGAAGGGAAGGTCTTGACCTTGAGGTCTTGACCCAGCAGGACATACTGCAAGTAATTCATGAGTAAGAAACATTTGAATCTTCATGAACACGGAGGCAAGAGCAACCAAAACAAGGCAGGGAGGATAGAGAAGACATCAATGCAGCAATCTCTTGTGATTGTCTCACCTGACTTGCTAATCCATGTCACCAAGTTTCTTGTGTTCTCACTTTGTCTGCCACCCAGATTGAGCTCAATCCAGGGGAGAGATAACTTCACTTTTGCAGTCGAGGAGGTGCCTGCTACATCACAAGCATAAGACGCTTCTTTTTCCCGCCTCTCCAACGCTCTGGTCCATCCCGTCCCCTTCTCATTTTCATCCCTCTTTCCTTCAGCTTTCCCTTCTCTCTCCCCTCCCCTCTCTTCTCTCCCCGCCTCCAGATCACCTCGCTCGCAGCAATGACATGAACGACACTAGAGTCTCTGGAGGCCAGGAGAGGTCAACGAGAGCAAGATTAGCACGCAAGATTGTGACCGTCACCTCTTCGCTTCAACGAGGGCCTTTGGCTTCACAACAACTGCTCTCGCCGTCTCCGTTTTCTTCGGATCGCTGTCGATAAATCCATTAGAGTGAGAGTAGGAGAGAAGGACAGGGAGGGCCAACGATGAACTCACATAAGGAGTTGCTCTCTGACATTCCAGTCGTCTTCATGAACTTTGAGAGCGAATCAGGTTGACATGATTTGAGTTATGCCAACCTTGAATGCACTTGTCGCTGCTCTTGTCCTTCACTCGTATCAACATCAACTGGGTTGAGAAGCATCAGTCTTGCTCTTGATTTCTTGCTCCAACGTAGCGCTCTTCTCTACTCTTGATCTCTTCACCTGATTCTGTGCGCTCTTCTCCACTTCCTTCACCCACATCGAAAACCCCCGACGCATCAAAGAGAGGTCGCGAAAGAGCTTCTTCTCTTTCAACAACAAGCTCCAGCAGAGGAGATACCTGAGCCAACGTCAGCTCTGCTCCTGCCCTTCCCTTTCACACACCTTCTTGTTAGATTGTGAATCGAATGTTTCGTCAAGGCCCTTCGCTTGCTACTCACTTCTCTCCAACTCCTCAAAATCTTGCACGAGAGGTTTCTAGTAAACTTCTTCTTTACAAATCCCTTCATTTTCTTTCGAGATCGTCGAGCTGCAACGTGACATAAGGAAAAGAGTATCACCACTCAACCTTACCAGACACGTACAATCGCATCTTGTGCATGACATTGCTGGCCCTCCTCGTGTTGATTCTGTTCCATGCTTTCTGCAATGATCGCAAAAATTTCCAAGATCTCCAGCTCGACCACAACAGTCTCTTGGCGATCATCTTCTCCACCCTCCTCGAGAGCTGTATGGTATGAATTCTTGCAGGAGCTCCTGCTACCGCCATACACCTGAAATTCAAATGTAAATCATAAAAGCGTTGGGTTCATGAAGAGCAATGGTGTGTTGGGATGGATTCATTCATGTGTGCACCTGAACATTGCTCTCAAGCTTTCTTTGTCTCTTCTTTTCCTCATCTTGGCTGCATAGATATCAATTCGTCTCCTCCTCCGACCCTCGGACAAGTTGTGAAACAATCTTGAAAAAGTAAGTTTGATTCGTGCTCTTTCTGCCTTTCTTAAAACCATCCCAAAGAATCTCTTCATGACCTGAACGTCATGCCAGATGGCATGCCATGCAAGAATGCAGAGTTTCCCACTTTTCGCAAGCATCTTTCCTCTCATTCTTCGCATTTCAGATGTTCTTTGCTTCAAATGCGTCCAGGCGATAAAGACAGCTGTCCTCGTACGAATCAAAATCTCGCAAACGCAAGAGTTTTCACGCGATCGCAGTAATCGTTTCCTCTTGCAGTAAGATATAAATGGAGAACAGAGATGCTGCTAGAATGTGAGAAACGCTAACAATCATGTTCATCGTCAACCTTTCGTCGACGTGCGTCCATTTCTTTACGCGTCAACTTCAACTTCTGTTTGCATTCAAGCAAGCTCCTCAGCCAACGAAGGACCTGTCGCTTGGCGTCTTGTTCTTTCAACCAATGTTTCTTCTCTGCCTTGACCTGACCTGTTTCACTGAACAGCATTTCACATTGTAAGCCCTTCACCTGCAGTCTAACTCGTTGATCCACTTGTCGATCTGCTAGTTCCAAGTCTGATCTTGCGTGGTTGAGCAATCCGAGCTCTCGCTCTAGTTCTTCCTGCTGTTTGACTCTAGCTCGAAGTTCTTTGATGATTTTGTCGCGCTGCAAGATCTCAGATATCATCGTGCTCTTCTCACATATCCTCAGGTTCTCTTCCTGAATGAGACTAACGGCCACTGTGTCTTGTCGCACGTTCGTATTGCGAAGAGAAAAACTTGACAGGCTGCTCAGATCGACATGGCGAAGTTTTTGAATTTTGTGCAAATCAATGGAGGTTCTCAGACTTCCGAGCTCTTCGTCCTCCAACTCATCTTTCCTCTCCTTCTTCTTCGCGTTCTGCTTTTGTGAGTTCAAGGGTTTCAAGACGTTGTCATGCTTCTTGGGCTCTTTCAACCCAAGAATCTCCTTTCTGCTCATCCACTCTAAGCAAACAGTAGATTTCACGTTTGAGAGACTTACTTCGGTTTCCAGAAAGGAGAGCGCGCAAACTGCTGCTCTGTTGGTTTCATTCTCCAGACGGAAGCTCGACAGGTTGTGGCACCGTTCTTCCTGCTTCTCAAACTCCAAGGCTCTCTCCTCTCCTCTGTCGCTTCCTCACCCTACACGCCTCCAAGCATTTTTCGAACAAGGTACCACCCCGGCGTATGATGTTCGGATCACTACCCCCTTTGGATAGGCCTAGGTGGGGTGGTCAAATAGAACCCAACACCTCCATGGCAGATCTCGCAAAATAAGTAGCAAATTCTCCTCCTGCCCCTCCTCCTGCCCCTCCTCCTGCCCTTCCTCCTGCCCCTCTTCCTAGCCCTGTCCTTGATCCTGTGTACTCCAGCTAATCTTGTAGAGTGTTGACTCTCCGGTAAACATCCTATTGTCAGATTAGACAGGACTTTTCTGACCGCCAACAAGGATGTCATGTAAGCCAATCTCTCCTCTCCCCTCTCCCCTCTTCCCTCTTCTTTCATCTACCCGCATCCTCTCACATCTGACCAGACTCTCCCTGCAGCTAAGAAAAGCTCCGTCACTCCTCGAGCTCACCGGCCCATCAGTGCACCTCCAAGTTGTCTGGGGAGGAGGTAAGATCAATATCTAAGCTTCTTCTCCTCATGGCTCGCGTGCAGGATGGTAGAAAAGAAAGATGCTCCTAAGAAAGCATCGAACAGCAGTAACTCTTCGAGCTCGACCCCGTCGGTAGAAGACTGGCTCGATTCAGAGCTCAGCAAGATAGTCGGGCTCGAGAAGGTCATGCGATGAAACAGCCATCTCTCTTGATAGACTCAACCCTCACAGGTCAAGGATCAAATCAGATCCTTTCTGAAAAACCTCCGGCTTGAAAACCGTCGCAAGGAGGTAAATCTTCTTGGTCCTCCTCTCCTCCTTCACTTCTCGTGTGTGTTTCTCCTCCTTTTCTGCCGTTCTCCTGTCTTCTCCTCATAGTTCAATACTTCACCCTCCTGTTTGATTCTCTAAACGCTCGTCCACTCCTCTCTTCTCATCTTCGGTTAGTCCCTCATCCTCATCCTCATCCTCATCCTCATCCTCATCCTCGTTTTCAATCTCAGTCTCATCCTCATCCTCATTCTGATCCTCGTTCTCATCGTGATCCACACGCGCTAGTCGTCATCGTCAACCTCTACCTTCTCCCTCTCCTCCCTTATCTCACAGCCTAGGTTGGGCTCGAGCCTCTTGGCAACAATGACTTCGACATGGTGTTCTACGGGAACCCAGGGACGGGAAAGGTGGGGAGCGAGGGTTGAGGGTCTAAGGAAACGGCTGAAGGCTGATAAAGAGATAATCTTGTTAGACGTCTGTTGCTCGCCTGGTACCGAAGATGCTTCAGAGAATGGGGGTTTTATCCTCCCATGCTCCCTTCTTAGAAGTGGGAAGGTAGGGGAGAGGGGAGAAGGTTGCTGTAACGATGTATGTGGCAGAGGAGATCTTGTTGGTTCCTACATCGGGGCAACAGAGCAAAACTGTCTCGCAAAGATCAAGGAGGCCAAGTATATGAGCAGCTCCTTCCGCGCCTCATTGTGATGACGTGGCAGAGGTGGTTTCATGTTCATAGATGAGGCATATACACTCACACCAGAAGATGCCGGCAAAGACTTCGGGTGAACCTATTGTTCCCAGCTTACTGTTCATTGCCGAGTCTTATGCTTTCCAACTTTGTTCTTGTGATTCCTCTGCTCTGCTCTACTCCTCGCTACTCCTCTGTTTTTCTTGTCTCGTCTGAACATCTTTCTCTCCTCTGCTCGTCTTCTCACCTTGTTTCTCCGTTCTGCTCCTTTTCCCCTCGTTTTTCTTATGTTTTTCTCATTTTCTGAATACATCTCAGCATGAAAGCGCTGGAAATCATTATGCAGTGCATGACGAGCAACGAGACTGGAAGACCATGTGAGAAACATTTTGAGAGACAGTCTAGTGATGATGGTGATGATGACGATGACGACGACGATGATGATCACGATGATAATGACGATGATGATCAAAGTGTTGTTGTTGTTGAAGATGATGATGATAATTATTTGCTTTATTCAAGATTTCATCTTTGCGGGCTACAAGAAAGAAATGGAAGGATTTCTCAAGTCGAATCCCGGAATGGCAAGAAGGTTCACTCTCTCTTGTTACTTAATCATATTTGAATGTTTCTGCAAGGATTGCTTACAAGTTTCACTTCGAAGATTATACTACAACAGAGCTTGTTGAGATAACAATGTTGAAGGTGAGATTCTTCGCTGTCGTTGATCCGGGATAAAAGATTCTGTCCAAAACGATTTTGTGCGTGTTTTGCTGACAACACCGTGAACAGGCAAATGACAAGAAAATTGTCTTGACACAAGAGGCTATTCAAAGTCTGCCTCATGTTCGTCTTCCTTGTTTTGTTTCCTCTGGCTAATTGCTGGTCAGTTGCTCGATTCGTTGTTTCCTCCTTCAGTTCGGACCATCTGGAATGGCGGGATCGCCAATCGACTTATCTCCGACTCCCTCGAGGTTTGTGTTTGAGACGAGGCAGAGGAAGAGGAAGCGAGCTGTTCAGCGCTGGCCACGTCTAGTCTTCGATGCTCTACAGCTTGTGACTCACTCCGTGTCACTTCATCTCCTTGTGTAGGCCCTCAACGACAGGTTGGACCCTCTGACCGCCACAAAGGAACAGTTATGCACCCTCCAGGTCATACAGAAATGGGAAGGGACAGGGCAGGGGAGCAGAGGTGAGGTCTGGGCTGATAAGATTTGATTTTCAGAAAGTGGACCTGCAGCTGGGCGCCAAGAACGCCTCTTTTGCTGTCTGTGCATTACAAACGGCTTTGTTGAATCCTGGGGGTCTGCACAGCAGCGGATATCTGCCTTCTGCTGCTGCGCCCATTCATCCTCCTCCCCCTCTTCCTGCTGCTTCCGCTGCCGCCGCCTCGGCTGCTATGCACTCGCAAGGGTGTGGCCAAATTATTCAGACCATGGAATTGAAACAGGTCAGTGACGTCGGTTTGTTGTTAGTGTTGCACTTTCTGTTCTGCCGTGTTTGTTTATGATGGCAGCATGTCGGTCAGGAATTTGTGGATGATATCAATTATTTCAGTACTTTCCCTCGGCTATCAGACGAATTGCGTTGTTGGAAGAAGAAATCGCCAACATAAGAAGTGAGTTTGAGAAGCAGAGGGAGATAAGGACTAAGTCAGGCTGTCAGATGCGTCTTTGATCAAAGCTGCACAAGAAGATGCGAACGCTGCCGGTCAAGTCGATGCTCAAACTTCGCACGAGACAGTTGACGAGGAGGATGAAGATGTACAAGCACATGACAATCGAGAAGACAACAACGACAACAGGTGAGATACCAACAATCCATAGCAAACATTTAGATTGAACGTTTTCATCAGACAAAAAGTAGACAAGAGATACCAAGCACTTGTGTCATATTGCAAGGGTAATACGCTCAGACATCAGAACTTGATGACAATGATAGCTTTAATGCAGATGCAGCCAAGATGTCGTCAGAGATGAAGTTGGAGTCAACCAAGCAATTGTGATGACGGAAATCTTCCAACGTTGGTCTCATCAACATTTTTTCCAGACTGCAAAGTGCGTTGGATCTTGTCAACTATATACTGAACGAGCAGATAACACAAACTGGGTAATGTTTGATGTACTTTGCTGTTATCATGCAACCTGCTTCAAGAAGTTGAAAGAAGCATCGGAAAGGGGGGATGGGAGCGGAGGGGAGAGGAGGGGAGAGGAATGGCGAGGGATACAGGAGGGAGAGAGGAGAAGAAATGATGGTTATTGAGATTTCTCTACTTATCTTTTGAGACAGGAAATCTAATTCACCTGAATGCGACAAAGACAACGAAGGAGCAGCCGTTCAAGATTCGTCCTTCCGGAAACAACATGATCTTGACCCTCAAATATCAGCACCACAACAGGCAAGAATGTTCAAAGTTTCTTCAATGTCCTCCACTTTCGTCCTGACACCTTGCAGCAATTTGAAGGCATTGCAAACTGGCTTGTCATTGCTAGTGAGATAATATTCCTCGTTAGATCCTTGTGTGCTCAACTTTCATGTTTTCTTCAATGCCTCCAACGCTGCTCTTCCCTCCTTTTGTTCCTTTGCTCTCTCCTCAAGTTCATACTGCAGGTACAGGCAGGTTGTCTATCGGCGATCAGGTTGCAGCTCTTTTACTCTTCTTCGCTCAACCCTCTCCAGCTCCCTAGCTCGTGGGATGAAGGGCTTCATTTCACTTGTGGTGTGGACCATTCCTTCAGGTAGCGAGTGACCTGGCAAGGGTGGCAAGTGAAATTTCTCTTCAGTCTCGGTGAACTTGTCCTCGCATTCAGGTTATGCCCACGCTACCCCCACCCCCAGTCCTCCTTCTCCTCCTCATGCAACTGCTCCTCCTCACCTCCTCACCTTCATCTTTCCCTACCGCCGTGACCGCCTCTTGCTCATTCTTCTGGTCCTGCTCTTCTCATCAGATCGAACGGGTGCCGGACCCTCGCCAAGGTCATCGCATGTCATCGCACGTCTGCACGTTGACCTCCACACAGGTAGAGCGAGTTAGCAAGACATCCCTCGACCTCCAAGTTGGTCGAGCACTGCAGAAGGTAGCTTCCTCTTCCTCCTCTCTCCCCATACCCCTCAAACCATTCCCTTCTCACTCCACTTCTTCTTTTATTCTACTCTCAAACTTCCTTTTCGTTCCCCACGCGCATCCTCCTTTCCTCTCTTCCTTTCGCCGTCCTCATTGTGTACTGCTGTCCTCCTTTGACGCCAGACTTGACGCCTTTGTCTCTTTTCTGCCTCCTCTCACCGAACTCGAACTGCAGACAGTGGCGCTAGAGAAAGTAGGGAAGTTGCACGGGACCTTGCAGACGTTCATCCAGACCATCTTCAAGAGAAGAGATGGTAACATATTATCATCACTATCGGTTGCAAATCATGGTGAAGTATCTCTTTGAAGATGGAAAGAAGAGAAGTGAAAACAATAGCAAAGGTCATATAGAAGAACAGTTGAGCGACGCGTTGAGAAAGAGGAATAACGGAACGATTGATGACTTTGACTTAGACGGTGATGATTGCCATCTCCGTTGCCTGTTGACATGCGATGCAGTTGATCAAGAGCTGATCGAAAAGCTGAAAGATTTGGAGCTGCAAGAGATTGCAAGAAAATCAAAGAATTGATCTTGTTCAGTTGCACATGCAAAGATCTTGTTTATATCTCAAGAAGCTAGCATGTCTTCCTCTCTATCTATGTCTGTCGTCATATGTGTCTTCTGTGTTCTTTGTTATCCTTTACATCGTTTCTCTTTCCATTCATCACGTATACTTCCCTCGCTTCTCGTCACGACAGCATTTTGTCGGATTTCGATCACCCTACCTAGTCCACTCTTTCCCAACTTCTTGAGCTCAAAACAGCACTGCTATTAATGATGAAAGTACCCCTACTTGCATAACCCCCACCTACCCGTGTTTCTAGATGGAAAGTTCTTGGAACACCCGATGAAGCGACGAGAAAGGAATGAGGGAGTGCAAGGGAAGGAAGGAAGGAAGGGGGGGGGGGGGGGGGAGGCGCGAGGAGGCAGAGGAGGCGGAGATACAATGTGGAACGACGACAAAGAGAGAATGAGGAAAGGCATGGTGGTAGAACAGTAGCAAGATAAGATGATCGGATCAAGCCATCAAGAATCGCAGAAACGGCTAGCGTTAGTCCGATGAAAGCATGTCGAGCATATGGACGAAGGGAAGAGATTTACTTCGAGCCGCATAATTGACGGCACAGTCTAACTTGCATGCAGATGAAGTTGTCTTCCTTGCTCTTGGCTTGCTTCTGCCTCCTCTTTTTCTTCCAAGACCTCGCACTCTGTCAGAACCCCAGCGGCCAGCTAGACGATGCCAAGTGTGACGTAGAGAGCGTGGAGACGGCCAACACGGAGCAGCTGCACAGGATTCTGTCCGAGCTGGTGAACACGACCTACTTCCGTCTGATGCACATCAAGCTCGACGGGAAGTGCCTCTACTTCGATCAGGCAGTGTCTGAAGCTAAGTGCGCCTCCACCCAGCAGGATTCGTTCTCGAGCTGGGCTTCTTCCTTCAGCTCTCCTGCTCCCCCTGTTAAGGAAGGAGGCCTGTGCTCGCTGGACGTGGGGAATAGAAACGAGGAAAGTTCGCAGTCGTCCAACCCCTTCGATTTCGGTCGTCCAATCACGAACAAAGTTGACAAGACGATCTCGAAAGCTGAATCAGAGTCTCTTTTGACCAAGGATGAGAGTTGTAATGACCCGTCTGTTCCTGACTTTTGGCTGGACATGTAACCCTTCTTTTCCCTGCTCCCCTCCCCTCTGGATGTTTTGCTCGACATGGTCTCGTTGTTTTCCTCCGGCTGCGGCCACCTGTTCTTCGCCTTTCATCTTCACTGAACTTGATACGTGACATCAGGTGTCGAAACATTCCCACAAATGCATCGGAATATGTAAACCTGCGGCTGAACCCCGAGGTGATGGAAGTATCGACTAATGTCCTGCTGATGTACAGCAGAGGTGGACAGGATACAACGGGTCTCACGTGTGGGACGCGATTTACAACGAGAACTGTTTTGAGCAACTTGGGTCTTTAGACGAGATGTGCTACGAGGAGAGAGTGCTATACCGCCTTCTCTCAGGCATGCACGCCTCGATCAATATTCACATCTCGCTATCATATTTTCCTCCATCCAAGGTGAGAGGAGAAACTTCTTTTCAAGGCATCGAGATGTTTTAATGCATTAGTTCGTGTTGTTGTTGCTGAATCTTCTCTGACATTGTATGATTTGAGTGTTCGCTCGTTGAGTGCTGTGACCTGACTTGGTTGCTTTCAGAGCCAAAACCGAAGCAACTGGGAGCCGAATCCTGAGAGGTTCATCAATCAATATGGGAGCAGGTAAGGAGAGGATAAGACAAGATCAAAAGCTCCTGTGATTATCAAACAAGCCCTGATGCTGATCGCAACAGACCCGAGTATCTCAAGAATCTTCACTTTGCATTTGTGGTTAGTTCGCCATGATTTTCTCAAGCCATCATCACTTGATTGCTCTCAGGTTCTTCTCAGAGCTCTTCGCCGCGCTTCTCCATTCTTGTACAACCATCACTTTGTGACCGGAGATGATCAAGGCAGAAGGCAGAGCACGGGTTGAGAGATTGATACTGAGAGATTGAGCAGACGACGCTCACACAACCATGTTGATCAGAAGACTTCTAGATTCCAGCGTCATGAGCAGCTGTCAAAAGGTAGCGCTCGAATCGATGGAAACGCTTCACCCAACTTTTGTCGGCCAGGTCTTCGACGCGTTCGATGAGTCGCTCATGTTCTCGATGGATGGAGAGCCTTCAGTGAAGGTGATGAAAAGATTCATTCTTTTGTTTTGCTCTCTTTGCTCCAAATACTTTCCATTTTGACCTGTCGCCTGAGCAGACTACACTCAAAAGTCAATGGAAAGGAGTTTTTCATAATATCTCAAGCGTTATGGATTGGTTAGAGTGGGAGAGAGGTTTGCCTCCTCTCACCGCAACTACAGCATCTCTTGCCAGAAATGCCGCTTGCACGGAAAGATTCAACTTCTTGGTCTCGGAACAGCTCTCAAGGTTCTTCTACTTCCTGAGCAGGTTGCAAGGAGGACGGTCGAGAGGGGCAAGGAGGAAACTTTTGAGGATATTTGCTGATTGCAATAAGCAGCTCATCATGGCTTCGCTTGAACGTGCAGAGATTGTGGCTCTTTTTAACACTCTATCGAAGGTCAGAAAAAATGCTGAGCACCTGATGAAGGGGGGGGGGGAGGGAGCAATGGAGGGCGATAGGGAGAGATAAACCGGCTATATTCGTGTTTCTTCTTTTTCCCTTTTCGCAAAGCATAACATTTCATGGGCAGTTTTCGACGGCCATCAGAGGAATCCAAACGTTGACGAACAAGTTTTACGAATATCAGACCCTTTACAAGTCTGACGTCCTAGATGACTCGGTAACAACTTATTTCAGGCATCCAGCATGTGACGTATCTGCAGATCGTCACGAGCAGATCAGCTCAGGGTCCTTCCTTGCAGAGCAAGAGCTCCCAGCAAGTTGAGCCTCCTCCTTCCTCTGATCGACAGACTTCCCAGACTGCTGCGTTAGTTGATCGCGCAATCGGCGCTGTTGCGGCAGCCGCCAAGGCGGGCAAGTTGAGCATGCAAGTGGAGCAGAAGTTGTTAGATGCGCTTCTTCGTCACGACAGCACAGCCCTCCTTCTCGCCAAGCACTTCATCGATGGCAACAGCACAAATCGCTTCTTGGTGCATGCGGAAAGAAACCTCCACCTCATGGACTCCTCTTCCTCTTCCGTCACCTCCTTTTCAACTACAGACACCGACACCTCGGAACTCGATGCCCTCAAGCAAGGTAAAGATGGCGCTACAACAGCTGACGACACAAGCCAGCAACGAATCACTTCTGAGGAGCTCGCAAACCATGCTACTGAGGAGAGCTGCTGGGTTTCGATCAATCAGAAGGTGGAGGAGGAGGTCAAGTATAACGAGTTCTTGAAATTCTTCACAGGTTTACGACTTCACACAGTTTCTGCCGGAGCATCCAGCAGGATCAGAGGCGATTCTGCGTATTGCTGGAAAGGTGAATCCTGATATCCTCTGCTAGCAGTGTACTTCTCCCATGCCTAGTGCCGTGGTGTTCTAGTTGCTGCCTCCCTGTTGACTCTGATGCAGGACGCAACGAGCGAGTACTTCGCTGTGCACACTGCCGAGATGTTGACGGACTTCAAGCCCATTGGCGTCCTTGCATAGTCAAGCTGCAATCACGCTGACTTATGAACCACTGAGACTGCCTTACTGATGTAATCCTGTCATCGCTTGCTATCATTTCTTTCGGAAGTGTATAGAGGTACTTGCAAACACCTCCAGTATGTGAACAATACACTCCTAAAACAGTGAACCCTAAACCCTAATGGCAAGGACTTAGGAGACAGTTGGAAGACGACAGGGTAAAGATCAACGCGGAGAGACCGAAGGGGAAACCTCACAGGCGAGAAACCAAGGTCAGCATGACAGGGAAGGGGCAAGGACTTAGCGCGAGGAATGGACAAGGGGACGGTTACATTGAACCCGTCAAGAGTTGAGGGTTTAGAGTTTAGAGGCAACTCTTCTTACTGAGGCTGAGGAAGCTAAGAGAAGACTGTAGAAGTACAAAGTAGAAAGAGACCTCAGAAGCAGGCTTAGCATTGTAGGCCGTGTACCCCAATACTTGCTTTTGTGAGGAGCCGAAGGAAACTGTACAGAGCGACCTCAATCAGGTCCGAGTCCCCCAGCTGAAGACGAGCTGGTTGCACTGATCTTAGGGTTTAAGGTTAGGAAGCCAAGAGCCAGAATATCGAAGCCAAGAGCCAGAATGTCGAGACATACACCGCCACCGAAGGCTCTGAGGAGACCTCCATCATCTCCGGAGTCCATTACTCTCCTTGGCATCTCATCGCTGTATGTAAGACAAGAAGACAAATTGAAAACGAAGTTGATGGAGCTAGGACTCATAGTAGACTCAGTGGAGGGATTAGGGTTTAGGGTCAAGGGGCCCAGAGGAAGCTGAGAGCAAGTGTTTGTACAGTTCAAACAGCTTTCTAAGCATGGTACTTCAGTATGATGAGAGCGTTCGCAACCTGCTGTATCGGAGGGCATGCTAATACACGCAGGGCGAGCGCCTTGGAGGCCACGTCGAGAAGGCCGACCTCGTCGAGAGGGTGAAGAGCTTCACAAAGCGTTATCCTAACAGTAGGACAGCTCATGCACTCCCGACGCTATCGCTGAAGCCATCCGCTCGACATGTCGGCAGGCGAGACGCGACCTGTTTGAAGACTCTCTGAGCGAATGGAGCCCAGAGTCCAGATCATGGTTTATGCAACAGATGGAGGAAGCCAAGAGCCAGACATACACCGCCACGACAGGAAGACAAATTGAAAACGAAGTTGATGGAGCTGGGACTCATAGTAGACTCAGTCGATAGAGGCGACAAGTCTAATCCCAGCTCTTGGCTCTTGGATCAATGTCGACGGCCGACATTGCGCTCAGATCTATCGATTTCAGCTGGTCTCGCAGTCTCTTGCAGACGTATGTTGCTGTTGGAGCAAGCACAGGAGCACTGCAGCAGAGAGAGCTTGAGATCCGGGCCGCTTCTCGAGGAAGGAGATGGAAGCGCTGTGCGGAGGAGGTAACACATCGATCACGAGAGTCAAGCGAGAATGAACCTCAAGCTGGTCAGCGTAGAGGTCGAGGAGGATTCTTGACACGCTGAGCTGGGATGGGAGCCTCGGAGCCTGATAACTCTCTCCCTGGCGTCCTACCGTACTTGGAAGGGATCATAGGAGCAGCGGCGAGGAGGAAGCCCAGGGGCGAGCGGATCACCATGGAAGCAGACGGTCGCCGTCAGGGCCGGTCGATCAACAGGTCTTGGTCGACCTCTCGAAGATGCTGGGAGGCCGAGAGACGGTCATCCAGCGCTGCCGTTTCCTTCAACGGTTCGCCGAGCGATCCGCCAGCCACCATAGGAAGCGCAACGCATCATCCTGCAAGCTGGCAATGATGGGAAGAAAGGCCTTTGGCGTTCCTCTGTGCTACCTTAACTGTTAACTTCGAACAATATGGTAGAAAATTATAGTTAACTGTTAACTTCGAATGATATGGTAGAAAAATTATAGTTAACTGCTAACTTCGAATGATATGGTAGAAAATTATAGTTAACTGTTAACTTCGAATGATATGGTAGAAAAATTATAGTTAACTGTTAACTTCGAATAATATGGTAGAAAATTTATAGTCAACTGTTAACTTCGAATGATATGGTAGAAAATTTATAGTTAACTGTTAACTTCGAATAATTTCGAAAAACTTGACAGCGGCTGGCTTGTTTCAAGTCTATTTTCGAACCCCATGGGGGCTGATCAGGGTTGCCGATCCTGCTGCACCCGACGAACCCCTCGGATGCTCGTTAAGTCGCAGGGTGGGTCCGGAACTTATAATTCTCCGGGGGATGGGGTGGGGTCACGGTCAGACTGACTGAAGGTATCAGATCACCGAAGGGGGTACTTAATGGTAAACGAGGGTGGTCTGATGTAGGCTCGCCCAGCCTTTATATTCCCCTTCCTCTCCTCGCTTGCTCTCACACGTGCTCTCACACGTGCCTCGCGACATGCGTGCTGCTGCTTACCACGCGGCAGCTCTGCTCCTCCTGCTCTCCTCCCTTCCTGGCTCTCATTGCGCATACAGCTTTGTCAAAGCAGAGGGAAAGGACATCTGCGCCGGTGTCATACCTGATTGCGCCAACTCGAAGGATTGTTCCTCTGCAGCCTACGGGCCGTGCACCGCTGCCTCCCCAGGCCCCTCAGCCTATGTCACAGTAACCCCCGACTCAATGGCATGGATCTACGATATCAACACCTACGCCACCAATGCCAACCAGGTCAACATGATCAATTCTTTGACGAATGTCTCCATCAATGGGTTTGTTAAGTCTCAAGCGGGCATCAAAGAAGGAAGTGCAGAGTATGCATACATGATGGCCGGAGGTCTAGTTGGTAATACCGTACAATCCTGCGGCTATGTCGGCGTGATTAATGCGATCATGACCAAAGGAAGTATCAGCACCAAGGTCATTCCCGTTTCATGGAATGCAGCCGACAACCTTCCGTCTGACCACAAAACTTACAAAAACAACGTTGCTTACTGTATCGCTTCTACGTCCAACGGAGCTTGTACCGGATCGAATGTGACATTCGTATCCGGCGACATCGCGTTCATGGCTTACGGCGGAACGATGGGTAGCAATTACGTTGCGGATCCTAAGGCCACGCATCTCGGCCTCAGACTGAAGATGACGGTGGTAGACAAGAGCCAGACTTCGGCGAACATGACTTTCAACTCCCAATCGAAGAAGCTGAGCGAGATGAGCAAGGTCGAGGTCAATAACATCACCTTCACTCTAGGCGGCAAGCTCATCTCCTTGGTTCTCTCGAAGGGTTTCAACTACGCCACTGCTGCTGGCAATCCTGTATCTTTATCCAAGTATGGAAGCGATACCGTGAATATCAGGGCCAACGCAGTAACGGGAGACGCCATGTCAGTATACTTTGACATTCTTTTCCCTAAGAAATACTTTCAGACAGCTGGTCAGACGGTCCTCTACGGGTCTGCAGGTGCTCCTACTGGCAGGCGGGCAACATCCACAACTCCTAGACAGTCTCGGTGGGTTGTCGGGCCTCCTGACGTGCCCATTGCTCCCGCTCGTAGTTCCGCAGCTGGCACCCCAGCGTTTATGGCACTCACTCTCATGGTGACCGCCATCGCTGCTCTCTTCACGACAAGAGCATGAAATCGACATTGGAGCTTCAACTGCTTGCTCGTCGCGTGATGCTGAGCTCTTTACATCCTGTATACTTTTTAGGAGAACACAAGGACATCGCACCAGAAAATCTCTTCAAATAAAGCATTGAAAAATCCTAGCAAAGTTGCCATTCTTCACCAGTCACATATCCATCATATCGAACAGCTTACTGTCATGCCTGAAACTGACACATGAGGCGACCATTGGAGAGCGTGAGACATACTAGGAGCACGGGATAAGAGGAGTGGCAGGAGGCAAGGGTGGACTCTATGGGCATCTACTTATCTACTTGCAACGGCATCGATGAAGGCAGTGCCTAGCAGCGGCAGGTTCACTAATAAAATGATACTGTGAGGGAGACAGATGCTAAGCGATGAGGCCTAAAAATCTGTCCTGAAGAATCTGTCCTGAAGAATCTGTCCGAGACCCAGCGAGGTATGATTACTTGAGGCCTGTAAAGCAGCAGGTGAAGCAGCAGGTGAAGTAGCAGCAGGTCAGGCAGCAGCAGGTCAAGCAGCAAGTAAGACATCAGCATGTAAAGCAGCAAGTAAGACATCTGCATGTATAGGCGCGGCATCAGCAGGTAAAACATGAGCAGGTCAAGCAGCAGGTTAGACATCAGCAGGTAGAGCATCAGCAGGTCAAGCAGCAAGTAAGACATCAGCATGTAAAGCAGCAAGTAAGACATCTGCATGTATAGGCGCGGCATCAGCAGGTAAAACATGAGCAGGTCAAGCAGCAGGTTAGACATCAGCAGGTAGAGCATCAGCAGGTCAAGCAGCAAGTAAGACATCAGCATGTAAAGCATCAGCATGTAAAACATCAAGTGAAGCAGCAGGTAAAACATCAGCAGGTGAAGTAGCAGCAGGTCAAGCATCAGCAGGTCAAGCAGCAGCAGGTACAGCAGCTGCAGTTGATGTAGCAGCAGGTGAAGCAGCATGTAGAACAGCAGGTAAAGCAGCATCAGATGAAGAAGCAGCAGGTTAAACATCAGCAGGTCATGCAACAGGTGAAGTATCAGCAGGTCAAGCAGCAGGTGATGTAGCAGCAGGTGATGTAGCAGCAGGTCAAGCAGCAGGTAGAGCATCAGCAAGTGAAGTAGCAGCAGCAGGTAGAGCATCAGCAGGTCAAGCATCAGCAGGTCAAGCAGGTACACCAGCAGGTGAAGCGGCAGAAGGTAAAACAGAAGCGGCAGGTGAAGTAGCAGGTAAAGTATTAGCAGGTGAAGTATCAGGAGCAGCAGCAGCAGGTCAAGAAGAAAAAGCAGCAGGAGGTAAAGCAGCAGCAGGTCAAGCAGCAGCAGGTCAAGCATCAGCAGGCAAAGCATCGGCAGGTCCAGCAGCAGGTGAAGCAGCAGCAGGTGACGTAGCAGGTGACGCAGCGGGTAGAGCATCAGCAGGTCAAGCAGCAGGTGAAGCAGCAGGTAAAGCGGCAGCAGGTAAAGCGGCAGCAGGTAAAGCGGCAGCAGGTAAAGCGGCAGCAGGTCAAGCGGCAGGTGAAGCAGCAGGTGAAGCAGCAGGTGAAGCAGCAGGTGAAGCAGCAGTTTCAGGAAGAGTTGATGTATATAGGAAGGAAAGAGACGCCCACCAAACACCCTTCAGAGCGAGACAGAGCATTGCCACATAGCTCGCGAGAACCTGCCTCAACAAAAGACTCATATACTTGTGAGGTATAATTTTCTGTACAATTAGACTCAGAGCTCTCAGCGGCGCCTGCTCTGCTCTCTGATGCAACAAACGTGCAACCTCTGCCTCCCACCTGTGATCCTTGTGCTACAGCCTTAGACCCCCTCTACGTGGATGCTGGCATCGTCACGAAGCTTCATCAGCAGGGTCGTCGACACACCCGGACCCACGTCCCTCAGCATGGTCCCACCAACAGACTCATGGGCGACCTCTGGCACCCTGGCCTCTCCACCACACCTGGAATTGGCTGGTTCTGGACTTCACCATGACTCATCGCTACAACAGCAGCGGCAGCCCCTTCGGCCTTTCTGCGCTCTCCGGCCCGGCCCAGCAGAAGATTTTGGATCATCGCGCAAGATATGCCACCCGGGCTATCACCCGCCGAAAGCCTTTCTTCCCTTCAATGCAGGTACGGATGATCTTCTTCTACCTGGCGGTTCACCATGGAACTGCTGACAGCGGGCTGGGATAGATGCGCTCAGGAGGCGGTGTATGGGGACCCTTGCTTTCATCGTTTGCGTGCTCGTCTGTTTTTGCAGCATCGAGTTCGCACTGGCCTTGCCGTCCTCCTCGCAGGAGCCTTGCGCTGCTGCTCTTTGTCCTGATCCTTGTTCCCCTGCTTGGGTTTAGGGTTTAGCCAAGACTCTCGATGTCATCGCTCTCAGCCTCCTGTCGATCTGTGAGCCTCTTGTTTCTTGCGATCAGTAAATTTGCTGAGCACCATGGGTTGAGCTGCACGGGCAAGGTCGACAAGCAAGACCGACTGCGGCTGACGATGAGAGATGAAGTCGAAATGGAGGCTGAGGAGGGCGAGGGCGTGGAGGAGGAGGCTGGCACAGGCCTCTCTCGCGCTTGAAGCTCGAGGCAAGTCTTAGAGGTGGACAAGAGGCGGAGCGGAGCTGTGGGCCCCAAGGGGGGAAGGAGGAAGAAATAAAGCTAATTTATTTATTGACTGAAAAAGCAGGTGGGCACGGGGCAGGGGGAGGGGGAGGCGGGGGGAGGAGGCCGGGCGGCGGCCGGCCGGGCCCCGAGGCGAGGCCCGGTCCGGACCGAGGGGACGTGAGTCTCAGGGACCCATCCACAACCCACCTGCCACCTCATCCATCATCCACTCACTGGCCGAAGGCCGGCCGAGACCACCAATGAGTACCGAGGCCGAGGAAGCAACACAAGTAAAGCACGGACGACCCAGGCCAAGGCGGCCAGCGTAGGAAACTCCACTGGCTGAGGCCTGGGAAGACCACTGAAGTATGATCAGAGGAGGGAGCCGCAGAGCAGAAGCACGGCAGCCAAGTCGGGCCGAACTGCCAGGTCACGAGATCCCTGTTAGACTAGAATAAGGCATTTAGGGTTTAGGGTTTAGGGTTTAGGAGCCGGCCCTTAGTAAGAGCAGCCGGCCCTTAGTAAGAGCAGCCGGCCCTTAGTAAGAGCAGCCGGGGTTTAGGGTTTAGGGTTTAGGGTTTAGGGTTTAGGAGGATCCCTTTATCTGAGAGGATCCCTTTATCTGAGGCAGGATCCCTTTATCTGAGGCAGGATCCCTTTATCTGAGGCAGGATCCCTTTATCTGAGGCATGCAGGATCCCTTTATCTGAGGCATGCAGGATCCCTTTATCTGAGGCATGCAGGATCCCTTTATCTGAGGCAGGATCCCTTTATCTGAGGCATGCAGGATCCCTTCATCTGAGGCATGCAGGATCCCTTTATCTGAGGCATGCAGGATCCCTTTATCTGAGGCATGCAGGATCCC